GCACGCCTGCTTCGTTCCCGGCTAAACTCAACACACAGGGCAGCTTCGTTGCCAGCAGCAGCAGCGGCGGCAGCGAGGGCAGCCGGGGAGGGGAAGCCCTCGCTATTATCACCCTCGCCATCCTCGTTATAGGCTTCACCGCCAGAGGTGGGGCGGCTTCGGAGAGGTGAGGTTGAGCCAGCAGCGGATGCGCGGAGGAAGGACGTGGCAGGTGGTAGTGCAAGGAGGGAGACGTCTGGGGGAGGGTTAGATGATGGAAGGAGAGGGAAAGAGAGTGGGATGGAAGGGATGCATTGGAGACAGACTTACTGTGTTCAAGGAGAGACGATGAAGGGAGAGATGAGAGATCAAGAGGAAAAAACGGGTCTGTTTCTTGTACGATGAGGAGGAGACAAACATTTCTCGTGTAGAGGGGAAGAAGGCAGAGTGCTTGTGCAAGAGGGGAGAAAGAAGGCTGTGGGGTGTATGGGTGTGTGATTGCAGAGAGCGAGGCTCTGCATTGCTCTCTGCTCGGACCCTCCCTCTTTGTCTCTCTCTTCCCTCTCCCACTCTCCCACTCGGTTTGCCGCAAAACAGACTCCTTTCTCTCCCGTCCCGTCCCATCCCGTCCCCTCCCGTCCCCTCCCGTCCCCTCCCATCCCCTCCCATCCCCTCCCGTCAATCCCGTTCTGTCCCCTACCCTTCCTTAATTCCCTCCCCTCTCACCCGATTTGAGGAAGGGTGAGGGACACGTGGCACGCCACGGGCTGCCCTGCAGCAGCTGCTCACTCCACTGCTCCGACAGAAACGACGGATCTCGGTCAATCACAGGCAGCCAACTGGCGGAAAGGGAATACGGGAAGCGGAGAGGGGAGGGAAAGAGGGGAGGGAAAGAGGGGAGGGAGAGAGGGGGGGGGAGGGGGACGGCGAAAAGGGGTCGCGGGACAAGATTGGGAAAGTCATGATGATGTGAGATGGGTCGGCAGGCAGAATTGGTGAGATGGGTCGGCAGGCAGAATTGGTGAGATGGGTCGGCAGAATTGGGTTACAACCTACATTACAAGTGTGGTTTGGGTAATAACAAGAGTCTGTCTCCTTCTCCTCTATTCGTTATTCCACGATGGAACGGCAGAACGATGTGAAGACGGCAAGATACGACATGTCCTGGTTGACCTACGACATGGCATGCCCACATTGGGCGAACCAACTCCACTGGTGCGAAGCGATTGAGTCCAGATACGATGTATCGGTCCACGCGCGACGTGACATTTGCGGTTTGATACCCTCGCTGGCTTGATCTTTCGGGTTTGACTTGGTTGACTTTCTTGAACCGTTTCTGAGCTACTCGAATATTCTTCAACGCATTGCCCTATTGAGCCTCCCCACCAACATTCGTGAACACACGCGATAAGAATACCAGACCGAGCCTAACGGAGTAGCTAATATAGGGGATAACCTGTGCGAAACCTACCCACCTCAACTGGCCGGCGACACTCTGAAAGTCGCGCATTGTCGCAACGAGTGCGCTCGTCGCGCGAATAGATACCCTTTCGCCGCATTCTGCGGGAGACGACGACACGACGACTGTCCGTGCGACAGGCACGGAGCCTGCGACGGTATCGGCGGGCGAAGGCGACGCTCTGTACAAGTGGCAGAGCGTGAGGTTGAGCGAGAGACAGATGTACGACGCCGCTGCTGTCGCGATAGAGACGCCCATTGCTGGCGTCGTAAATGGCGGGACTGATGAGTAACAGAGCTCAGCGCATCCCTTATATTTTTATCCTGCTGCTCCAACCAACATGGGACTTGAATCATGTGCAACAAATGGTGATGGTCCAGTCTATTTAGATGTACCTGGAGAGTGATGGTGGGTTCCCTCAGATGTCTACAGTGAAAAAGGCCTCATGTGCTAAGAAATGGGGAAACTTGGGGTATGATGCGCTATAAGTGATATCGGGCTGTCCTGTAGTGTACCGTTTCAAAGACTCGACATCCTCCAAAGGATTACACCCTGTTTCTCATCTGCTCCTGACCTCAGAACAGCTTGGTATAAGCACACTTGTACTTCACACAAACCAGCAATATGGGATAAAAAGAACCGCATTGAAACCCTTTCAAATCTTTTTTTTTTTTTTTTTAAGAACGAGTTTGCACTATACCAATGCAAATACATTCACAGTCGTAACTGAATTCCAGAGGGAAGCATGCAAACTGCAGTCAAAAGACTCCGGCGCAGCCCCCCCTGCATCCGCCTACGGTGGCCGGATGAAACGTCTTGGGGTTCTGCCATATGGATAGGAAGCCCATCCTCCACGTGGCCTGCTCCCCTGCCTCACAGATCCTCGCGATCGCCCGCCACGTTCATCTCCTTCCAGCCCCCCCCCATGGGTCCCGTGGTTGCCCTTTTCTCCCCCCCCCCACCTGCCTTCCTCAACTTTTTCCGCTCTGTAGAGCCTCGCATGCCGCATGAAGTCATAGATTGCCGCCCGTGCCACCTTTTTCCTCTGAAATTTCTCCTTCCGGTACACCGCATCCACTCTGGCCAACCAAATCCTGCGCATTGTCACTGCTGTCAACGTCCGCCCCTGGAAACCCGGATTTCGTGGCCCCCTCCTGAAACAGCATGTCTCCCAGTGGTCCTCGTTTGGTCTGCTGGGTTTATGATCCCAATGACCTCAGCAGCGCGCCGATCACCGGTTGGATGACTGGGCAGGTGAGCATGCAGTGAGCTAGGGTTTCTGGCTCTCCACAGTGTGGGCAGCACCCCCTGGCTCCAAGAAAAAACAGCCTCCCCCCCACCTGCAGGTTCTTGCTGTGCATCCCTCAAGCAGCACATCTCTTGCTCTGTACGGGATCACCAGCGAGTCCCTTCTTTCTCTGACCGCCTTCCAGGCTATTTTGTTCCCCCACTCCTCTTCCCATTCGCGTCTCCGTCTGGACGTCACCACGGGCCCTGCCAGCGCCCTCCTAATCGCTTTCGGTGCAGCCGGCCTCATATCGTCTCCTACCAGCGATGTCAGGCCACAGCTTCGCTCTCGGCTCGCCCATCGCGCCAAGCACTCTCCCCCCTTTTACTGTCACCGGGGGTTATACTCTTAACAGGGAACGAAACCGCGTAAGGTCTTTGCGGCACCACCAGACTTGCGCCGTCCGGACACTCCAGATGGTCGGTAACCACCTCCTCATCCTTGACCCCCTTTACCGTCTAGTAAAGAAACTTCTGCGCCTGTGCCAGAAAATGTTCGCACCACCTTTGCTGCTGCCACCACTGCTCCCGCTGACCTCTGCACCGTCAACATCGCCTTCCACTCGTCAGGGATCGCCCTCATACGCTTTTCTCGCCCATCTCCCGATGCCACGCTTCCGAAATCTGTTGTTAGCTCCTTGACGCTTTTAACTTCCCTGCTACCATCTCCCCTAGTGATGAGCAGGTCCCCCAGTCTGGTTGTCCGGATACCTGCTGCCCCTTGGCGGTTCCCGAACGGGCTCCCCCCTTGAACATAATTTTCCGGTTGAAGCATAGCATCTCGCGCTCGGCTTCCCACCCATTCGATGGCGCCGGAAGGTCTGCAAAACGGGGACTCCCAGAAAACTTCTGCTATCGCCTTCCACCTCTTGCTACCTTTTCCCCAATGTCTACCAGCAGACTTGTGGGCGAAAAAGGTCGCCACTCCCTGCGGAAGTGCCGCCGCCTTCTCCGACAACCACCGTTTGGTAACGTCTTGCTCCGTGAGAAATTTCCCCACCAAACCTTCAATCTGGTCGTTCCTCAAAACTGGGATTCTGTAGCCAAATTCTGGTTCGGAGACAGTAACCCGTGCTTCGCTAAAGGAACACCTCCTCGCTAAGCTCTTCCTTCCTGTCATCATGCTCACAGTGATTTCCTCTAGTTCAACACAATTCACAAGCAAAACACATATGCTCCTCCAATCATGTCCGTTCGAACACGAGTTTTTCGTCACAGCGCAATACCGATAATCGCTTGCGCCAGCGGCGCGAAATGCTGTCATGCCACACGTGCAAGCCGGGATTTTCTCGTCGAACCAAGGATAGTACAGCACCTATCGCATATGCTTGTGACGCGGCTTGCTGTCCTTCTCAGAAATGGCACATCGAAGCGCGACAAGCGAGCGGTTCTTATTTAGAAGAGCAATACCTGATTCTCGATATTTCACACTGCAGCCAATCCTTCACAAACTCTTGCGTCTCTTCTTATTCTCCACCCTCAGCTAGCAGAAGTATCGACCCTTTCGGCATTGTTGATTAGATTTCCTTCTTTCATGGCATCCCGCGCGCTCCTCCTCCCCCTCATCCTGCTCGCTCTGCTCCTCGCTGCTGAAGGTACGCACGGCTTCGGTCACAAGCAATGCAAGCGCAAACCAGACTTCTTGTCATACTTACATAGTGATTTGTGTATTCTAACGCAATTTCTCCCCATGTCTAGCAGGGGCTCGTAATCAGGTATGTCCCGCGCATGAGGAGGGATATCGAGAATCAGACATGCCCGGATCCGCACGGCGCTAAAACAAGCCTCAAGACGTGCGCGTTACACTCTGTGTCCGACAAACGCGCGGAGTGGCAGGACGGCTGTCAGACTCGGATGGTCGCAGCTGGGACAGGGCCGTTGGTTCCGATGTTGTCATATGTGACACTGCACATGCAGCGCGAAATGCACCAAAGACCTCAATCCCACACCTCAAAGCAGACTCCAGGATGTAACCAACTATTCCACAGTCACATCAGTGGTGTGGACTCTGGACCACTGAATGGTCTGCTGGTGCTTCATCTCATCAGGAGAATTTTGCTGGTTATGATGGTGCAAAGTGATACGGTAGGAGACTTCCAGCTTTATTGATATCCTGATCTCATAAATCTTCACTCCATGCAACATCTTTGAGGGATAGAAAAATAAGGTTAAATAGTTGATTATTGAACATCATACACTGTGCAACAAGAGGCTTGTAAAAGGTATCACCACATCACATTGTGGACACAAGGGCCAAGAAGAACTCAACAGTAATCTACTCAATCAGGTCAATGAAGAGCCGGTCTTCAAAGAAACAGCTGTCACGGCGGAACCCAGGCAGCCTCAACAAATGCTCTGGAATCTTCACACCCACAGATTTCTCATCTATGCACAGCTCGGGCAGCCCTGTCAATGCTGTCAATGAGTCGGGCAGGTACAGCAGATTCGGGCAGTTCTGGACAACAAAAGTCTGGAGGAATTTCAGCTGCCCGACGCCAGCCGGGAGAGCCTGAATGGCTGGACAGAACGCCACCACCAGCCTCTGCAGAAACTGAAGGCTGCCCAGAGACTCGGGCAGCTTGGAAAGCTTCGAGCAACCAATCAGATCCAACCGCCGAAGACTAACCAGCTGGGAAATCTCCTCTGGAAGCTCAGCTATCCCGGCAGGCTTGGTTTTCTTCTCCGGTGTGGGTGGCAAGTCAGCCGGCAGAATCAGCATAAGGGAAGAGTTTATCCCACCGCCGGTCTCTGTGGTAACCGCATCGCTGCCTGTGCCCATACCAACTGCGCTACTCCCTGCAGCGAGACCAGAGAGCGATGCCTGAGACGCTGATCGGGAGCACATGCGGCTGGGAGAATTCACTGGCAGGTCTGAGAATGACTCCCGGTTTCTGGTCTCGGTGAAGTCAAGGACGAGGCTTTCGAGGAGTCGGAGAGAGAAGAAGGCGGGCGGGAGGGCGGTGAGGGGAGACGTTGGCTCGTAGGACCAGCTGGCGCAGATTGCACATGGCTGATGGGGTGATGCCCATGGATGCCGGCAGGGCGAGCAGACCACTCGGACCATCATCATCCTCATCCTCCTCATCATCCTCCTCGTTATCGTCAACATTGTCATGACCATAACTATTGTGATTTTCTTCGTCCCCGTTTCTGCCGGTGCTTGCGCCATCGTCGCTGGCAGCGGTGTCGTCAGTGCCGTTCATGCTCATATGCATGTCCAAGGCCGTTGAATGGCTCACTATGCTCATCCCATCCTCCTCCCCATCCTCCTCCTCACCCTCCTCCCCATCCTCATCCTCCTCATCCTCATCATCATCCACCTTGTTATCCACAAGAAGCAGCTGGAGGCTGCCCGAGCTGCCCAGAGATTCGGGCAACGTGGCAAGAGAATAGCAGCCAATGAGCTTCAGCGAGTAGAGGTACGGAAGCTGCCCCAGAGATTCGGGGCAGGGAGGTGAGGGCGAAGCAGTTGCGGAGCTCCAATCGCACTAGACTTGTCAGCTGTCCGAAGGAGTTGGGCAGGGATAAAAGTCCCGCAAGCTTCGGACTCCTCTGCAAAGCCCTTGTTGTCGAAGACAAATTCTTCTAGCTGATAAAGCTGCCCGAAAGATTCGGGCAGAATCCAGCATCAACGGGCAGCCGACAATCTTCAGGAACCGCAGGGAGCAGAGCTGACCGAAAGATTGAGGAAGCTCTTTTAGGCTGCCCAGCCAAGTTTCACTGCTGCCATGTTGATCACCATCTCCTCCAATTCTTTCAGCTGCCCGATGCTCTCGGGCAGGCTGCGAACTGACATGCACCAGCACATCTTGAACCACTTCAGGCGCTTAAGCTGCCCGATAGTTTCGGGCAGCTGGCGTAGACAATCCAGACTCAGCAGCTCCAGCTCCTCCAATCCAGTCAGCTGCCCAATTTCCTCAGGCAGTGTAGGGAGCTGCAAGCAGGAGTCCAGCACGAGGCGGCGAAGATTCGAAAGCTGACCGAGGGCAGGTGGAAGAGAACGCAAACCGAGCTTCGAAGACTGATTCGTTATAAGCAGCTCCTCTAAGAGCGAGAGGCGGGCGATGGAGGCCGGGAGGGAGCGTATGAATCGGCCGGTGCAGAGCGAGAGAGAGCGGAGGGAGGGGAGGGAGGTGAAGAGGGTGGTGAGGCCTGCTGGTGTTCTTGCAGAGGTGCGCTCCTGTGGGTGATGGGGGGGAGAGGGAGAGGAGGGGAGATGGGGCAGATATGAGAATTGGGGAGCTAAAAGGAACCTCTATAAAATTAGGACAAACAAAGAAGGTTCTTAAATCGTTTCTGAACAGCACAGATAGTCAAAGTTTTCCATCCAAACTCACAAAAAAAACGCATAGCAGTCTAGCAGATGTCTATTACACCTACTTACATTGTAACCAGGGAAGACATCAATGTGCAGAGCCTGCAGCTCCAATCTGGACGAAGCAATCATCTCGAAAACATCGTCCCCTTCAACCTCCAGACTATTCCAGGGCAGGTACAGCAATGCCAGGTTCGGGTAACAGGCTAGGTACCGAGCCAGCAGAGGCTTGGGGAGCAGGCGGTTCGGAAGGAGGTAGAGCGCTTGCAGCGCGAGGCAGGAGAGGGCGGCGAAGCGCCGGGATAGGCCGAGACACGCCGCCCAGTCGAGCGGGGTCGGTGAGTCGAGAGAGGATCTGGACGATGAACTCGTCTGGCAGATCCGATAGCTGGGTGGCTCTTGAGTCATCTGGTGGGAAAGTTGAAAGGAGGGAGAGAAGGGAGGGATTAGTTTTGAGAATTCTCAAAACTAATCTCAAACAGAAGGGGGGACAAGGTATAGTAAGGAGGCGGATGATAATTAAGAAGAATTTGGAGACGTCCCAAAAACCGAAGGGAGGAATGAAAAGTCTGTGCCGGAACTGCAGCCCGAGTTTGCAAATAAATGAAGACCTTCCGAACAGCAACATAAGCATACCAAGGGCTTCATATAGCTGCCTCTGCTGCTCCATCTTGGCACACCAGGTGAGCCCATCTGGTGGGAGACTCCAACGCCCCAGCAGCTCCCTAATGGGACTCTGCTCCCCCCACTCCTCCACCCTCCCTCTCGCCTCTGCACCCGTGTTGCTGCTTGCAGCTGCAACCTCTGCCTCTGCTGCCTCTTTTTCTGCTCCAACCCCCCCAACAACTTTCCCTTCTACCACAGCTGGTCCGTCCCTGCTCCTAGCCTCCTCTTCGTTCTCCATCCCTGCCTCCTCTTCTCCCTCTGCTATCCCTCTGTATATCGAATGCTGCTGCCCACCTGCCATCACCCCACCAGTCGCCATTACCCCAGTTGCAACGCTTCTCGCCCTCTTCCATCCCTCCTGCCGGCACGCCTCCCCATGCATTTCTCCAATCGCCCCCACCGACTTCCCTGCCGTCCCCCCCGCCACATCAACTGCACCAAACACCAATGCTCCATTCCCCAACACCCCAGCCACATCACCCACCCCTCCCTCCCTGCCTCCGTGCATTCCCGCTACAACCTCCGCCGCTACAGCCGCCAGGGCAGCAGCGCCTGCACCCTCTTGCCTCCCTGCATTCGAACCGGGAGCAGCTGCTCCGGGCTGAGTCGCTGCTTTCACAGAGAGCAGAATGTCCTTCCATGTCTTGCCCATGCTGCTGCCACCATTGCTGGTAGCAGTAACGCTGTTGCTGTCGCCACTGCCGCTGGCCTCGCTTGAAGGCACTGTTGCAGCTGCTGGCCATCCTGTCTGCATGCCCTCACTCGCTGGACCCTCCTCCTCTCGCTCCTCCTCTCCCTCCTCCGCATCGTCCTCATCCTCCCCTTCATCTTCCTCCTCTCTCTCCTCCTCGCTGTCTGCATCATCCCCCAGCATTTCCTCCTCGTGCCCTTCTCCATCTATGTCCCCACTGCCCTTCATTATAAGCACTTCCCCCGCACCTCCCACCAACCCTCCTGGTGATCCCACTCTTATCTGTCGATCCAACGACCGAGATTTGCTGTATCCCCCACTCCCTCCGCCATTCCCCAAACCCCCAACCCCTCCTGCTCCTCCTCCCCCTACCTCCCCCATGCCAGCACCTCTCCTCCCCGCCCCCTCGCGGAAATCCGAATCTCTCGACGAATCACGGAACTCGCCAAACCTCAGGTCCCTCGCATCCCCACCGAACATCACGCTGCTGCCGAACCTCGGCGGCAACCGTGGAGGCATGCCTCGGGCCATGGGCGACTGGCTCGGGCTCACAGACGAGGTTCGGATGGGAAAGCCGCTAGGATAAGCCCCCGGAGAGGCGGAATAACGTGGGAGGTTCGGCGAAGGGGAGCGGCGGCGCTGAGGGGAAACTCCTGCCAAGGCTGCTGCTGGCCACTGCTGCAGCATCAAATGGCCCGGAACCTACTAGGGCTGAAAGCTTCCTCGGGGGCGAATGGGGCTCACGAGATGGGTGGAGGGGGCAGCGAGTGTAGCAGGGGAGATGGGCGGATGGGGAGTGAGGGATGGAGCGCGGTGTGACGGGGAGTAGGGACGGTGGATGAGGCGTGGGGAGGGAGCAGGGTAGTGCTGCTGCTGCTGCTGCTGCTGCTGGATGCTCTTGTCATTGCCGTACAGCGTGGTGGGTTCACCATTGCTATTAGATTGGCCTTGACTAACATTGTCACCAGAGGTAGCACCAGTGGAAGCAAGAGCAGCCAGGGCCTTCACACGGCCCTCACCAGCGTCCAGAGAGGAGTCCTTTGGAGCACTGTCAGCAGTTTCAGCACTGTTATTGGCAGCAGCAGAGGCAGCCAGAGCAGCGAGCTCTCTCACTCTCCCCCCAGCAACATCCAGAGAGGGGTCGTTTGAAGCAGCACTGGCGGTTGCACTGCTGTTGGCAGCAGCAGAGGCAGCCAGAGCAGCGAGCTCTCTCACCCGCCCCTCTCCAACCTCCAGAGAGACCAAGTCCTTTGAAGCACCGCCGGTGCTTTCAGCACTGTTGTTTGCAGCAGCAGAGGCAGCCCGAGCAGCAAGAGCCTTCACACGCCCCTCTGCAAAATCAGGATTCGCCACACCTTTAGGCGTTGCACTGACAGAGTCAGCAGCTGCCACAGAAGCCACCACAGCAGCAAGAGCCTTCACACGCCCCTCTGCAACATCTAGAGCCGCTGCCTCTTCAAGGGGTGCAATGGTGGTATCAGCAGCAGCAGGAGCAGCCACAGAGGGAGCAAGAGCCTTCACCCATCCCTCAGCAACGTCTCCAGTCACCACCACCTCTTTAGGGGGTGCACTGGTGGCGTCAGCAGCAGCAGTGGATGCCACCGCAGCAGCCAGCGCCTTCACCCTCCCCCCAGCAATATCTAGACCCGGTGACTCTTTAGAGGGTGCACTGGTGGTATCATCAGCAGCAGGAGCAGCCGCAAAGGCAGCAAGAGCCTTCACACGCCCCCCAGCAACATCTACAGCCGCTGGCTCTTTAGAGGGTGCAGGGGTGGTATCAGCAGAAGCAGCAGACGCCACCACAGCAGCAAGAGCCTTCACACGCCCCCCAGCAACATCTAGACCCGCTGACTCGTTAGAGGGTGCACTGGTGGCGCCAGCAGCACCCACAGACGCCACCACAGCAGCCAGAGCTTTCACATGCCCGCCAGCGATATCTACAGCCGCCGCCTCTTTGGGGGATGGACTGGTGGCGTCAGCAGGAGCAGCAGTTGATGCAACCACGGCAGCCAGAGCTTTCACATGCCCGCCAGGAACATTTATAGTTGCTGCCTCTTTCGGGGCTGCAGCTGTGGTGTCAGGAGTTGCAGACGCCACTACAGCAGCAAGAGCCTTCACACGCCCCTCTGCAACATTCAGAGTCGCCGGTTCCTTAGAGGGGGCACTGGTGGCGTCAGCAGACGCAGATGAAGCCACCACAGCAGCCAGTGCTTTCACCCTCCCAGCAGAAACGTCCACAGTCGCAGCCTCCTTAGGGGTTGCACTGGTGGTATCAGCAGCGGCAGACGCCACCACCGCAGCAAGGGCCTTCACCCTTCCCCCAGCAACATCTACAGCCGCTGGCTCTTTAGAGGGTGCAGGGGTGGTATCAGCAGAAGCAGCAGACGCCACCACAGCAGCAAGAGCCTTCACACGCCCCCCAGCAACACCTAACGCCACTCCCTCTTTAGGGGATGCAATGGTGGTACTAGCAGCAGCAGCAGCAGCAGCAGCAGCAGCAGCAGCAGCAGCAGCAGCAGCAGCAGCAGCAGCAGCAGCAGCAGCAGCAGCAGCAGCAGCAGCAGCAGCAGCAGCAGCAGCAGCAGCAGCAGCAGCAGCAGCAGTAGGCGACAGCATAGCAGCAGCAAGGGCCTTCACACGCCCCTCACCCTCAGACACATTCAACAGGGGGTCTCTGGCAGAATCACTGCCTGCTTCCTCATCCGCTCCTCCTCCTGCCTCAGCTGGGCTCTCCTCAGCGGGAGCATCCTCAGCCTCCATACTCCAAAACTCTTCACCTCCAGCCTGCATATCCGTGTGCCCTGTCTCGTGCTCTAACTCATTCTCCTCTTCCTCCTCGGTTGAACCCTTCTCAGCTGGACCCTCCTCAGCCTCCATATTCCACGACTCTTCCCCTCCAGCCTCCGTATCCATGTGCCCTGCATCGTCCTCTGGTTCCTGCTCTACCTCCTCCTCTGCACTCTTCTCATTGGCCTGTTCAGCTGGACTATCCTCAGCCTCAATACTAGAAGAGTCTTCACCCCCAGCTGCCATATCCGTGTACCCTGCTTCTTCCGCTGGGTACTGCTCTATGCCCTCGTCTCCATTGTTCTCATCGTCCTCCTCAGCCTCCTCAGCCTCCTCAGCCTCCTCAGCCTCCTCAGCCCCCTCAGCCTCCTCAGCCTCCTCAGCCTCCTCAGCCTCCTCAGCCTCCTCAGCCTCCTCAGCCTCCTCAGCCTCCTCAGCCTCCTCAGCCTCCTCAGCCTCCTCAGCCTCCTCAGCCTCCTCAGCCTCCTCAGCCTCCTCAGCCTCCTCAGCCTCCTCAGCCTCCTCAGCCTCCTCAGCCTCCTCAGCCTCCTCAGCCTCCTCAGCCTCCTCAGCCTCCTCAGCCTCCTCAGCCTCCTCAGCCTCCTCAGCCTCCTCAGCCTCCTCAGCCTCCTCAGCCTCCTCAGCCTCCTCAGCCTCCTCAGCCTCCTCAGCCTCCTCAGCCTCCTCAGCCTCCTCAGCCTCCTCAGCCTCCTCAGCCTCCTCAGCCTCCTCAGCCTCCTCAGCCTCCTCAGCCTCCTCAGCCTCCTCAGCCTCCTCAGCCTCCTCAGCCTCCTCAGCCTCCTCAGCCTCCTCAGCCTCCTCAACATTCCAAGAGTTCTCGCCCCCAACCTCCATATCTGCGTGTCCTGCCTTGTGCTCTAAGTTCTCCTCCTCCTCCTCCTCCTCCTCCTCCTCCTCCTCCTCCTCCTCCTCCTCCTCCTCCTCCTCCTCCTCCTCCTCCTCCTCCTCCTCCTCCTCCTCCTCCTCCTCCTCCTCCTCCTCATTCTCTTCGTTACCTTTTTGCTCCATTCCATCTTCCTCCTCCTGTGTATCCTCCCCTTCCTCGCCTCCCCCCTCTTCCCCCTCCTCCTCCTCTGCCTCTCCATAATCTTCTTCCTTCCCCTCCTCTTCTTCCTCTTCCTCCTCTTCTCCCTCCCCTTCCTCTGCTCCACCCTCACCCTCCTCATCATTATCATCCTCTTCCTCCTCCTCCTCCACCTCCTCTTCCTCCTCTTCCTCCTCTTCCTCCTCCTCCTCTTCCTCCTCCTCGCTACCACTACTATCCAGCAGCGAAGGCCGCTTTCTCTCTTTCACCATACTCCGACTCCCCAGCCCAGCACTCCCCCCTGTGAGCCCCATGATCTCCCGAGTCACTGCACTGGCCGGCACGTGCAGGCCCTGTGACGCCACCAGAGAGAGCATCCGCGATCGCTGCAAGTTCGAAGGGAAGATGCGAAGAGTGAGAGAGAGGAGAAATGGTTAACAGGTATCAGCAGCACCAGCACTCCCTCCTGTGAGTCCCATGATCTCTCGAGTCACTGCACTGGCCGGCACGTGCAGGCCCTGTGACGCCACCAGAGAGAGCATCCGCGATCGCTGCAAGTTCGAAGGGAAGATGCGAAGAGTGAGAGAGAGGAGAAATGGTTAACAGGTATCAGCAGCACCAGCACTCCCTCCTGTGAGCCCCATGATCTCCCGAGTCACTGCACTGGCCGGCACGTGCAGGCCCTGTGACGCCACCAGAGAGAGCATCCGCGATCGCTGCAAGTTCGAAGGGAAGATGCGAAGAGTGAGAGAGAGGAGAAATGGTTAACAGGTATCAGCAGCACCAGCACTCCCTCCTGTGAGTCCCATGATCTCTCGAGTCACTGCACTGGCCGGCACGTGCAGGCCCTGTGACGCCACCAGAGAGAGCATCCGCGATCGCTGCAAGTTCGAAGGGAAGATGCGAAGAGTGAGAGAGAGGAGAAATGGTTAACAGGTATCAGCAGCACCAGCACTCCCTCCTGTGAGTCCCATGATCTCTCGAGTCATTGCACTGGCCGGCACATGCAGGCCCTGTGACGCCACCAGAGAGAGCATCCGCGATCGCTGCAAGTTCGAAGGGAAGATGCGAAGAGTGAGAGAGAGGAGAAATGGTTAACAGGTATCAGCAGCACCAGCACTCCCTCCTGTGAGTCCCATGATCTCTCGAGTCATTGCACTGGCCGGCACATGCAGGCCCTGTGACGCCACCAGAGAGAGCATCTGTGAACGCTGCAAGGGGGGGAGGAGGGAGAAGAGACACAAAGAGTGGGAGACGGAAGGGATGGTTAAGAGGTACGCGCAACACCAGCACTCCCCCCTGTGAGCCCCATGATCTCCCAAGTCACTGCACTGGCCGGGACGTGAAGGCCCTGTGACGCCACCAGCGACAGCATCCGCGATCGCTGCAAGCAATGAAAGGGGGGTAAGGGAAGCAACACGGGTGAGTGAGCATTATGTCCCAGGATACCATACTGCGGCTCGCCCCCAGCCAGCACTCCCCCCTGTGAGCCCCATGATCTCGCGAGTCACTGCACTGGCCGGCACGTGCAGGCCCTGTGACGCCACCAGCGACAGCATCCGCGATCGCTGCAAAGGGGGTGGAAGGGGTGGAGGATAAGAGCGAGAAGAAAGGGGAAAGGTTGTCACGACATTGGTAAAATGAGGGGGTTGGGACTTCAGGCTATCTACAAGTGGTAAGAGCGAGGAAGTCAGAATAGGGTACGCAGAAACATGCAGCTCACCTTGCCCGGACTGTGAGGATTGGCCTGGCAACCAGCAGCAGCAGAGCAGCAGCAGCAGCATGGCAGGAACAGCAATAAGAGCGAGGAAGTCAGAATAGAGTACGCAGAAACATGCAGCTCACCTTGCCCGGACTGTGAGGATTGGGCTGCTGGCGACCAGCAGCACCTGCCATGGCCGGAAGCGCAATAGGAGCCACTCCTGCTGCTGCTCCCCCCGCTTGCCCCACAACACCTCCACCTCCTGTCCCAGACGCGCCCGTCCCGCTCCCCTCACCCGCCCCTGCTCCTCCCCCTCCGCCTCCCCCTGTGCCGCCCTCCCCCTCCCCCTCCTCGCGGATGCCCTGGCGGAATCTGAGCTCCCCCAGCACCGCATTGAACCGCTTCATGCTCGCCACACGCAGCCGCAGCGCCCGCTGCTCCTCCGCGTTCCTCTCCTCCTGCTCCTGCCGCTTTATCCTCGCTTCCTCGTCCTCCTCCTCTTCCTTCTCCTCTGGCTTGCTCCTCGGGCTGCTGTTTGTGCTCTCTTTTTCACTTGCCTCCTCCTCCTCCTCTTCCTCCTCCTCTTCCTCTTCTTCCTCTTCCTGCTCCTCATACTCTTCATACTCCTCCTCCTGCTCCTCCTCCTGTTCCTCCTCCTGCTCTTCCTCCTGTTGCTCCCCTTCCGAATCTTGTCCCTCTGCGCTTTCTCCTTCTTTTCCACCTGCTGCACCTGCTCCCTCCTCTGCCACCTCCTCTGATTTATCCTCGTCTGTGACTTCCTCTGTAACCTCTACAGTAACCTCCTCTTCTGTATACTCCTCTGTAACTTCTACAGTAACTTCCTCTTCAGTGTATTCTTCTGTTACCTCTACAGTTACCTCCTCGTATTCCGCCGTTTCTTCTACAGTCACCTCCTCGTATTCTCCCGTTTCTTCCACTTCTACAGTCACCTCCTCATATTCTCCCGTTTCTTCCACTTCTACAGTCACTTCCTCATATTCCTCTGTCACTTCGACTGTCACTTCTTCATACTCCTCCGTTTCCTCTACAGTCACCTCCTCATATTCCTCTGTCACTTCTACAGTCACCTCCTCAGTGGATTCCTCTCCTGCCTCACTCCCTCCTTCCTCCTCTTCCCCTGCACCCTCCTCCCCCTCCGCAGCCTCCCCACCTTCTGCACCCTCCTCTACCTCCGCCTCCTCATTCTCCAATTCTTCCTCCTTTGTTTCTTTCGTTTCTTCCTCTTCTTTTTCATCCTCCTCGTTTTCCTCCTCTCCTCCTTCTCCACCCTCTTCCCCCTTCTCTTCCTCCCATGCCTCATTCTCCTGCTCCTCCACCTCAGCAAGTGCTTTCGATGCCACTTCAGCAGCCGCTCCCGATGCCACGTCAGCAGCCGCACCCGATGCCACGTCAGCAGCCGCTTCCGCTGTCACGTCAGCAGGTGCTTCCGCTGCCATGTCAACAGGTGCTTCCGCTGCCACATCAGCAGGTGCTTCCGTGGCCACATCAGCCGTTGCTTCCACTGCCACGTCAGCAGGAGTTTCTGATGCCACCTCAGCAGAGAACTCCCCCACAGCATCAGCCAGCGGACCTTCAGCAGCCGCAGATTCCACACCCTCTGCTCTCATGCTCCCCCCACCCTCTACTCTGCCTTCAAACTCACCCCCCTCCTCCTCTACCTTGCTAATGACGCCCTCTCCCTGTTCTACCTCTCCCTGTTCCACGGGCACCGAGACAGCAGGTGCTGTGGCAGCTAAGGCCGCAGCAGCCATAGCTGTTGCACCGGCAACGGCTGTTGCACCAGCCACCACAGCAGCAGAGGAAGCACTATCAGTTGTCGCGGCAGCACTCGCTGAATCAGCACTGCCAGCTGTAGCAGCCGAAGCAGCAGCAACAACTGAAGCAGCACTAGCAGGTGTAGTAGCAGCTTCCGCTGCAATGCCAGCTGTAGCAGCTGTAGCAGCAGCACCAACGGAAGCATCAACCTCTGGAGTGCGGGGTTGCTCACCAGGAGACACGGCCAACAGCTGCTGATGCTGCTGCTGTGAAGATCTGAAAGGAGGCACAGGGAGTTGCTCAGGCTGCTGCTGGAAGCGGTTGAGGAAGTCACTCCGCAGTCGCCCCACTGCTGCAGTTTGGGTAGGAGCCGGTGCTGCTGCAGTAGGAGAGGCGGCAGATGCAGGGGTCGGTGCTGCTGCCGCTGCGCTTGCCATGCCTGGCCTCCAGGCTCGGATGGGCACGGGCTTGGGCGCAGGTTCGGAATCGGACCAATCAGAGTCCGAGCCTGAGTCAGAGTCCTGATTGGGTCGCTTCATCCATGAGTCTGCAGCGCAAGGCTTGATGGTAACGGCAGGTGCTGTGCGGTGAGGAGGAGTAGAAGGCTGAGGGGAGGAAAGTGGCTGAGAGGAGGAGACGATTGTTGGATCAACAGATGGTTCAGGTAATGACGGTGCATCTGCTGCCATATCAGCTGGTACAGAAGTGGATGGACCTGATGCCACGTCAGCTGGCACAGGAGTGGATGGGCCTGATGCCACGTCAGCTGGCACAGGAGTGGATGGGTCTGATGCCACGTCAGCCGGAACCAGGTAGCCTTGTAACACCTCTCCACCTGAAAATTCACCTGACTGCACCTCTTCCTCTTGCACCGTCTCTGCCCCCTCTCCCTCTCTAACCTCATCCCCAGCAACAACTGCCAGTGCCGTTTCTGCCCCTGTTGTTGTTGCTGCTGCTCCTGGCTCTGCTGCCAAATCACCAGAGTTTTCAGGAACGTATTCATCCTCAGCTGCAGCAGAAGCATCAGCCGCAATATCAGAGTCAACCACACCTGTAACAGTCACAAGTTGAGCAGGAGCATCAGTAAGAACGTGCTGCTGTTGTTGTTGCTGCTCCTGTTGCTGCTGCTCCTGTTGCTGCTGCTGTTCTTGCTGTTGCTGCACGTGCAGGGGTTGTGACGGAGGCTCAGAAACTTGCTGCTGCTGCTGTGGGGACCTAATGGGTGGCACCGAGGGTTGCTCCTGCTGCTGCTGCTCCTGCTCCTGCTGCTGGTGCTGCTGCTGGAAGCGGTTGAGGAAGTCACTCCGCAGTCGTCCCACGGGGCCAGTTTGTGGGGGAGGAGAGGCGGCAGGCGCAGGTGCTACTGCCGCCACACCACTCGCCGCACCTGCTCTCCAGGCTCGGATGGGCACAGGCTTGGGCGCAGGTTCGGAGTCGGACCAGTCAGAGTCCGAGGCTGAGTCAGAGTCAGCCTGATTGGGTCGCCTCATCCATGAGTCAGCAGCGCGGGGCTTGATGGTAACGGGAGGTGGGGGAATTTGAGGTGAAGCGAGGAGGGTGGGAGGCTGGGGGGAGGCGAGTGGGGGTGGAGAAGAGACAACCAAGATACCATCTCCCTTGATTTCCTCCTTAGCCTCTTCCTCTCCTTCCTTCATCTCTTCCTTACTGTCTTCCTTAGTCTCTTCATTACCACCTTCCTCTCTTTCTTCCTTCATCTCTTCCTTACCCTCTTCCTTGGTCTCTTCGTTACCCTCTTCCTCTCTTTCTTCCTTAGCCTCTTCCTGCATCTCTTCCATCCTCTCCTCCTTACCCTCTTCCACTCTCTCTTCCTCGTCCATCCTCTCCTCCTTACTCGCTGCCACTACCTCACTATCCTCTTCCACTCGCTCATACCCAGCCTCTTCTGTACTCTCCTCCTTACCCTCTTCCACTTTCTCTTCCTCTTCCACTCTCTCTTCCTTACCCTCTTCCACTCTCTCCTTACCCTCTTCCACTCTCTCTTCCTTACCCTCTTCCACTCTCTCTTCCTTACCCTCTTCCACTCTCTCTTCCTTACCCTCTTCCACTCTCTCTTCCTTACCCTCTTCCACTCTCTCTTCCTTACCCTCTTCCACTCTCTCTTCCTTACCCTCTTCCACTCTCTCTTCCTTACCCTCTTCCACTCTCTCTTCCTTACCCTCTTCCACTCTCTCTTCCTTACCCTCTTCCACTCTCTCTTCCTTACCCTCTTCCACTCTCTCTTCCTTACCCTCTTCCACTCTCTCTTCCTTACCCTCTTCCACTCTCTCTTCCTTACCCTCTTCCACTCTCTCTTCCTTACCCTCTTCCACTCTCTCTTCCTTACCCTCTTCCACTCTCTCTTCCTTATCCTCTTCCACTCTCTCGTCCCTACCCTCTTCCACTCTCTCTTCCTTATCCTCTTCCACTCTCTCTTCCTTACCCTCTTCCACTCTCTCTTCCTTACCCTCTTCCACTCTCTCTTCCTTACCCTCTTCCACTCTCTCTTCCTTATCCTCTTCCAATCTCTCGTCCCTACCCTCTTCCACCCTCTCGACCCTACCCTCTTCCACTCTCTCTTCCTTACCCTCTTCCACCCTCTCTTCCTCGTCCATCCTTGCTTCCTTACCCCCCACACCCTCGATCGCACCCACTTCCTCTCCCTCTTCCTCTGTTGCTTCCACTCCCTCTCCCTCTCTCGCTTCCACTCCCTCTTCCTTGACCGCTCTCTCCTCCTCACCATCTGTCACTATCACTTCCTCTCCCTCATGATCTTCCGCTGACATACCCACTTCCATCACCTCCATTATTGTTGAATCTCCTTTCTTAACCGCTCTGTCCTCCTCACTCTCTGTCACTATCACTTCCTCTCCCTCATGATCTTCCGCTGTTGACACACCCTCGTCCTTCACCTCCAGTATTGTCGCATCCTCTCCCTCTCTCTTCCCTTCTCCCTCCATCTGCTGCTGCTGCTGCTGCTGCTGCTGCTGGAAGCGGTTGAGGAAGTCACTTCGCAGTCGCCCCACCACTGCTGGCTGGGCAGCAGGAGACGCGGCAGGCGCAGCCGCCACTGACGCTACACCACTCCCCGCACCTGGCCTCCAGGCTCGGATGGGCACAGGCTTCGGCGCAGGTTCGGAGTCGGACCAGTCAGAGTCCGAGCCTGAATCGGAGGAGTGGGTCTGCTGCTTTTTCATCCATGAATCTGAGGCACGTGGCTTGACGGTTATGGCTGTGGTGGGATGTTGAGCTGGAGAGATGGTGGTGGGAGGATGAGAGGATGAGAGTGCGGGTGGGGAAGGGACAGCCAAGGCATCATTTCCCTTTGTCTTCTCCATAGCCTCTTCCTCTCTTTCTCCCGTCACTTCCTCCTCTCTTTCTTCCTTAACCTCTTCCTCTGTTTCTTCCTTACTCTCTTCCGCCCTCTTCTCGGTACCCTCGTCCTCCCTCTCTTCCGTACCTACTTCCTCCCTCTCCTCCTTACTCTCTTCCACCCTCTCTTCCTCTTCCACCCTCTCTTCCTCTTCCACTCTCTCTTCCTCTTCCATCCTCTCTTCCCTACTCGCTTCTTCTCGCTCCTTACCGCCATCTTCCACTCTCTCCTCCTCACCCTCTTCCACCCTCTCTTCCTTACCCTCCTCTTCCTTCTCTTCCTTCCTCTCTTCCTCAAACTCTTTCTCACTCACTTGCTTACCTTCTTCCGCAATCTCTACCTTACCCTCTTCCATCCTCTCTTCCTCGTCCATTCTTGCATCCTTATCCCCCACATTCTCAAGTTCAACCGCACCCACTTCCACTCCCTCCTCCTCTGTTGCTTCCTCTCCCTCTTCCTCTCTCGCTTCGTCTCCCTCTTCCTCTCTCACTTCCTCTCCCTCTTCCTCTCTCGCTTCCTCTCCCTCTTCCTCTCTCGCTTCCTCTCCCTCTTCCTCTGTCACCTCCACTCTCTCCTCATCTGTCGCTTCCTCTCGCTCGTTCTCTCCCCCTTCCACTCTTTCTTCCTCCGTTGCTTGCTCTCCCTCTTCCTTCACCACCCCGTCCTCCTCACCCTCTGCCATTGCCACTGCAGCTTCATCATCTCCTGTTGACACACCCCCTTCCTTCACTTCCATTATCGCCACACCCTCTTCCTCTCCCTCCTTCTCTCCCTCCACCTGCTGCTGCTGCTGATCCTGCTGTGGAGACCCAAGAGGAGGCACATAGGGCTGCTCCGATTGCTGCTGCTGCTGCTGGAAGCGGTTGAGGAAGTCACTCCGCAGTCGCCCCACCGCTGCAGTTTGGACAACAGGAGCGGGAGCAGGCACAGGGGCCGGTGCTTCTGCTGTTGTACTCGCCATGCCTGCCCGCCAGGCTCGGATGGGCACAGGCTTGGGCATAGGTTCGGAGTCGGACCAGTCTGATTCGGAATCAGAGCCAGAGTGGGAAGACGGCTGTGCAGGGCGGATCCACGAGTTGGCAGGGCGAGAGGAAACAGATGGAGGAGAGGGAACAGATGGAGCAGAGGGCGCAGGGAGAGGAGAGGGAGGAAAGGGAACAGCAAGGGCCGAGGAGTTGGTGGGAAGAGGGTGAACAGTGTCAATCGATGGAGCTTCTGCTGCCATTGCTGCTGCTTGCGTCTGCTCCACCAAGGCAGGTGTTGTCTCAACTGCTGCTGCTTGCTCGTCCTCCCTTGCTTCTGGTGCTTCAGCCACTGGTGCTGCTACTGATCCTTCCATTGCTTTTTCTCCTTCCAACGCTGCTGACCCTTGCACCACTGCTGATCCTTCCACTGCTGCTTCGCCTTCCACTGCTGCTTCGCCTTCCACCGCTGCTTCGCCTTCCACCGCTTCTACGCCTTCCACCGCTGCTGATCCTCCCATGTCTGCCCCTTCCGCTTCTGCTGCCACTGGCGCAGACTCTGACGCTTCAATGTTCTTCGAAGCAGCCTCTGATGTGCTCTCGCCACTCACACTTGCATCAACTGCCGGCACTGCCACATTATCCTCCCCCTCTGCGCTCTCTCCCGCTACACTCTCTCCCGCGACACTCTCTCCCTCCACACTCTCTCCCGCGACACTCTCTCCCTCCACACTCTCTCCCGCGACACTCTCTCCCTCCACACTCTCTCCCGCGACACTCTCTCCCTCCACACTCTCTCCCTCCTCACCCTCTCCATTCATGCTCTCTCTCTCAAAGTCTCCATCTTCTCCCAATCCTTCCTCTGCCACTAACACATCTTCCTGCTTCTCCTTCTCCTCCTCTCCCACCTCCACTCTGCTCTCCTCCTCTTCCGCCTTCTCCTTTTTCCCATCTTCCGTCTCCTCTCCCCTCTCCTCTTCCTCCACCGTCTCTGCTTCTTCCCCTCCACTCTCCACCTCTCCTCTTGCCTCGTCTCCTCTCTCCTCTCCTTCCTCTTCCCGCTTACCTTCCTCCTCTTCCAACTCCTCTTCCTCCTCCGCCCTTTCACTTTCCTCCTCCCCCCACTCACTTTCCTCCGCCTCCTTTTCCCCTTCCTCCTCTTTCCACGCCATTTCCTCCTCTTGCCTCTCCTCCTCGCTCTCAAGCTGAGCCACCAACTGGGTGGCAGAGGCCAGAGAGGAGGCATGGCTCAAAGAAGCAGCTGGTTCAACCCTGGAAGGTGTGACAGGTGTTTCAAAAGCAGCAGCTGAATCAGGTGCGGCAGGTGAGTCAGGTGAATAAGATATAGCAATAGCAGGTGCCACTCCCCTCTCCTCCTCCTCCTCTTTGCTCTCAACTTGAGCCACCGACTGGGTATCAGAGGCAGGAGGGGAGGCAGAGCCGAAAGAAGCAGCTAGTTCAGCTCTGGCAGGGGAATCAGGTGCGGCAGGGGAATCAGGTGCGGCAGGTGAATCAGGTGCGGCAGGTGAATCAGGTGCGGCAGGGGAATCAGGTGCGGCAGGGGAATCAGGTGCGGCAGGGGAATCAAGTGTGGCAGGCGAATCAGGTGGAGCAGGTGTTTCAGATGCTGCAGGTGAATCAGGTGCGGCAGGTGTTTCAAACGCTGCAGATGAGTCAGGTGCAGCAGGGGAATCAGGTAAGGCAGGGGAATCAGGTGCGGCAGGTGAATCAGGTGCGGCAGGTGAATCAGGTGCAACAGATGAATCAGGAGCAACAGGTGAATTAGGTGCAACAGGTGAATCAGGTGCAACAGGTGAATCAGGTGCAACAGGTGAATCAGGTGCAACAGGTGATTCAGGTGCAGCAGGCGAATCAGGTGCGGCAGGTGAATCAGGTGCGGCAGGTGAATCAGGTGCGGCAGGTGAATCAGGTGCGGCAGGTGAATCAGGTGCGGCAGGGGAATCAAGTGTGGCAGGTGAATCAGGTGCGGCAGGTGAATCAGGTGCGGCAGGTGAATCAGGTGCGGCAGGTGAATCAGGTGCGGCAGGTGAATCAGGTGCAGCAGGTGAATCAGGTGCAGCAGGTGAATCAAGCAGAGCAGGCAAATCAGGCGCTGCAGCAGCAGTTTCAGGCACAGCAGGTGAGTCCACTTGGGTGGGAGTGGCAGAGACAGGAGAGGAGGTAGCACTGAGAGGAGCAGCTGCTTCATCCCCAGCTGGCAAATGAGGTGCCGCAGGAGAATGAGGTACAGTTACTGCAGAAGCTGCGTCCGAAAGTGACTCAGCATGCGAATCAGCATCAGAATGTGATTCAGCATCAGAACATGACTCAGCATCAGAACGTGACTCAGCATCAGAACGTGACTCAGCATCAGAACGTGACTCAGCATCAGAATGTGATTCAGCATCAGAACGTGACTCAGCATCAGAATGTGACTCAGCATCAGAACGTGACTCAGCATCAGAACGTGACTCAGCATCAGAATGTGATTCAGCATCAGAACGTGACTCAGCATCAGAACGTGACTCAGCATCAGAACGTGACTCAGCATCAGAATGTGATTCAGCATCAGAACGTGACTCAGCATCAGAACGTGACTCAGCATCAGAATGTGATTCAGCATCAGAACGTGACTCAGCATCAGAGCGTGACTCAGCATCAGAGCGTGACTCAGCATCCGAATGTGACTCAGCATCATAAGAGCGTGACTCAGCATCATCAGAATGTGACTCGGCCTCCTCATGCTCCTCCTTAGCCTCCTTCACCTCTTTAGCTTCCTCACTCTCCTCACTCTCCCCAGCTTCTTCACTCTCCTTACCCTCCTCACTCTCCTCTCCCTCCTCCGCCCCCAACAGCTCCCTGCCCTCCACTGCTCCCAGCATCCCCTCACCCTCCTCGTCCGCTGCCGCCCCATCCACCCCTGCAAGCACCGCGACAGCCACAACTGCCGCCCCACCCATCACTACAGCCTCTACTTCAACGTCCTGCAGCCTTGCTTTATCATCACTACCCCCATCTTCCTCCGCACTCTCTGCTTTCTCACTCCCCCTCTCTTCCTCCTCTTTCTCTACATCCTCACTCCTTGTCTCTTCCTCCTCCCTCTCTGCTTCCTCACTCCTTGTCTCTTCCTCCTCCCACTCTGCTTCCACACTCCTTGTCTCTTCTTCCTCCCTCTCAGCCTCCACACTCCTTGTCTCTTCCTCCTCCCTCTCAGCATCCTCACTCCTTGTCTCTTCCTCCACCCTCTCTTGTTCCGGTGCAGAGTCAACGTCAGAGTTTGATCCTGGTGGCGATGGCAGAGCTGAAGCTTCACAGTCAGACGCATGCAGAGCCACGTCAGCAGCCACATCAGCTTCTGGTGCAGAGTCAACCTCAGAGTCTGGTCCTGATGGGGATGGCAGTGCTGCAGTCTCACCTCCAGCCGCACACGGTGCCACATCAGACGACACGTCAGCAGCCACATCAGCGGCCACGTCAGCAGCCACATCAGTTCCGAAAGAAGAGTCAGACTCGGAGTCTGATCGTGATGGAGATGGCACCACTGCAGTTTCACCTCCAGGCACTCGCAGAGCCATGTCAGCAGCCACATCAGCCGCCACGCCAACAGACACATCAGCAGCCATGTCAACAGACACATCAGCAGCCATGTCAACAGACACATCAGCAGCCATGTCAACAGACACATCAGCAGCCATGTCAACAGACACATCAGCAGCCACGTCAGAATCAGAGTCAGGTTCAGAATCTGGTCCCGAAAATACATCTGCTTTCTCCTGTTCTGCTTCCACCTCCTCGGCCTCTCCTCTCGTCTGCAGCACAGGTGCAACCAACTCACTTGCCAGCAGCAAACTAGCACCTCCAGCTGCATCCAGAGCCACCTCAGCTGCCACATCAGCATCCACCTCAGCTGCCACATCAGCAGCATCTTTGATGCTGGTGGCTGACCCCTCTGGAGAAGATGGTCTGGAATCGCCCTCCACGTCCACATCAGCAGGGGGTGCCACGTCAGCAGCTGATACCACATGTGCAGACTGTTCCTTATCAGCAATCGCATCATCACCACCAGCAGGTAATTCTGACTTGTCACCTGCTTTGACCTCAGCTGCGTGCTTCATGTCCACAGGTTGCACCACATCAGCAACTTGCGCCACATCAGCAGCCTGCGCCACGTCAGCAGAAGAGTCCACAACTGCAGCGGAATTCAAAGATGCCTGCTGTTGCTGCTGTGGAGGTGTGAGGGGAGCCTCAGAGGCCTGCTGCTGTTGCTGCTCCTCCGGCTGCTGCTGCTGGAAGCGGTTGAGGAAGTCACTCTGCAGTCGCCCCACCGCTGCAGTTTGTGGGGGAGGAGAGGCGGCAGGCGCAGGAGCCAGTGCTGCGCTCGCCATGCCTGCCCTCCAGGCTCGGATGGGCACAGGCTTGGGCGCAGGTTCGGAGTCGGACCAGTCAGAGTCCGAGCCTGAGTCGGAGTGGGAAGAAGGCTGTGCTGGGCGGATCCAAGAATTAGCAGGGCGGGAGGAAACAGAGGGAACAGAGGAAACGCTAGGGGCAGTGGAAGCACTAGGGGCAGAGGGGACGGCTGAAGCTGAGACAGACGGGACGGCTGAGCTGGGGGCATTGGGTGAGACGGTTGAGGTGGGGGAAAGAGTGAGGGGATGCAGAACAACAAGATGGGCGGTGGAGACGGGAGGCTCGTCTGGTGTTGCAGTGCTTGCCATCGTGGCCTCTGGCTCTGCCCTGCCTGCTGCTGCACCTTCTGTGATTTCCTTTGACTCAGAAGATGCATCTGCTGCAACGCCACTGCCACTGACCTCTGCTGCTGCACCTTCTGTGATTTCGTCCCGCTGAGGCATCTCCGTGGCTTTACTCGCCTCTTCTTGAGAATTCTCAAAAATACCCTGAGGCGTCTCCTCGGCTGCACTCGGCTCTTTCCTGCTCTCGCCCTCAGCCCCTGTCTTAACCTCAGCCCTCCTTGGACTCTTATTCTCACTCTCAGAACTTTTCTCACTTTCACTCTCGCTGTCAGCCCCCCTTTCACTCGCACTCTCACTCTCAGACCCCTTACCACTTTCATTCTCACTCTCAGCCCCTTTCTCACTCTCAGCCCCTTTCTCACTCTCAGCCCCTTTCTCACTCTCAGCCCCCAACCCACTTGCACTCTCAATCTCAGACCCCTTCTCACTTTCACTCTCACTCTCAGCCCCCCTCTCACTTGCACTCTCACTCTCAGACCCTTTCTCACTTTCACTCTCACTCTCAGCCCCCTTCTCACTTGCACTCTCACTCTCAGTCCCCCTCTCACTTCCACTCTCACTCATACTATCACTCTCACTGTCCCTTTCACCTTCACTCTCCCTCTCACTCATGCTCTTACTCCCCCTCTCACCTTCACTTTCACTCTCCCTCTCACTCATGTTCTTACTCTCCTTCTCACCTTCACTTTCACTCTCTCTCTCACTCATGCTACCACTCTCCCTATCACTCATGCTTTCACTCCCACTCTCACTCCCATCGTCCACTTCACTCCCTTCTGCATGTGCATCTCTGGTCTCGCCCTCCACCACTCCCTCCTTTTCTTTAACCACCACTCCCTCCTTTTCTCCCTCCACCACTCCCTCCTTTTCTTTAACCACCACTCCCTCCTTTTCTTTAACCACCACTCCCTCCTTTTCTCCCTCCACCACTCCCTCCTTTTCTCCCTCCACCACTCCCTCCTTTTCTCCCTCCACCACTCCCTCCTTTTCTTTAACCACCACTCCCTCCTTTTCTCCCTCCACCACTCCCTCCTTTTCTTTAACCACCACTCCCTCCTTTTCTCCAACCACCACTCCCTCCTTTTCTTTAACCACCACTCCCTCCTTTTCTTTAACCACCACTCCCTCCTTTTCTCCCTCCACCACTCCCTCCTTTTCTCCCTCCACCACTCCCTCCTTTTCTTTAACCACCACTCCCTCCTTTTCTCCCTCCACCACTCCCTCCTTTTCTTTAACCACCACTCCCTCCTTTTCTCCCTCCACCACTCCCTCCTTTTCTTTAACCACCACTCCCTCCTTTTCTCCAACCACCACTCCCTCCTTTTCTTTAACCACCACTCCCTCCTTTTCTTTAACCACCACTCCCTCCTTTTCTCCCTCCACCACTCCCTCATCCACTCCCGCATCAACTCTCACCATCCTGTCCTCTTCCTCCTCCACCCTCCCTCCTTCAGCTACACCCTCGGTCAGTTCCTCTCTGTGCAAATCCTCCACTTCCTCACGTCCCTGCTGCTCCCTCTCCCCATCCTCTTCCCTCTCCTCCTCCGATCTCACCTCCGCCTCCCTCTCCTCCCACTCGTCCTCCCTCTCCTCCTTCTCCTCCTCCTTCTCCTCCTCCCTCTCCCCCCACTCCTCTTTCTTCTCCTCCTGCTCCTCTTTCTCCTCCTCCTGCCCCTCTTCCCTGCCCACATGCTCCTCACTCTCACCAACTGGCAGATTCACCTCCCCTTCCATGTTTCCTGCTGCTGCTGTGCTGCTTCCTTGCAGACCCTCTTTTCCCTCTCTCTCCTTATCCTCTCCCTCCTCCTCCCCCACTCTTCCAGCCTCCTCATTCTTTCCATCTTCGTCCTCCTCTCTCCCCATTCCAACCTCCTCCCCCACCGTCCCAATCTCCTCTCCCTCACTACCTTCACCCTCCCGATTCTCTCTGTCCTCCACCTTACCCTCACTCTCTCCATCCACCTCGCCAACCCCCTCACTCCCTCCCTCACTCTCTCCCTCTACACCTCCAGACCCCACATCATCCTCCTCCCACTCACCCACACCGGACCCCACATCACTCCACTCCTCGCTCTCCCAGTCACTTCCTGCCACCAGCCCATCCGCCTGTGCTGCTACCACCACACCTCCCACAGCCAACACTTGATTCGACTCAAACCTCGCCTGTGCTTCTGACACGCCTGCCACAGCCAGTACAGCGACTGTCGCCAGCTCATCAGCCTGTGCTACCACCACTCCTCCCACAGCCGGAGTAGAGACTGCAGGCAACGTCCTCTGGGCCATGAGCGTTACCGGAGGCTCCATTGATTCCATTTCCTCTGCATTGATTGCACTTGCTACCGAGCCTTGCTCTTGCATTCTGCCGTCTGCATTTTCCAAGGCCATTGCATCCTCTTCCTCTGCTACCGTGCCTTGCTCTTGAGTTCGGCCACCTGAATCGCCAAGGGCCATCGATTCCACTTCTTCTGCTCTTGCATCGCCAGCATCACTGGTTACCACATCACCAGCATCACTGGTTACCACATCACCAGCATCACTGGTTACCACATCGCCAGCATCACTGGTTACCACATCACCAGCATCACTGGTTACCACATCGCCAGCATCACTGGTTACCACATCACCAGCATCACTGGTTACCACATCGCCAGCATCACTGGTTACCACATCACCAGCATCACTGGTTACCACATCGCCAGCATCACTGGTTACCACATCACCAGCATCACTGGTTACCACATCACCAGCATCGCTGGTTACCACATCGCCAGCATTACTGGATACCGCATCACCAGCATCACTGATTACCACATCACCAGCTTCACTGGTTACCACATCACCAGCGTCACTGGTTACCACATCACCAGCTTCACTGGTTACCACATCCACAGCATCGCTGGTTACCACATCGCCAGCATTACTGGATACCGCATCACCAGCATCACTGATTACCACATCACCAGCTTCACTGGTTACCACATCACCAGCTTCACTGGTTACCACATCACCAGCTTCACTGGTTACCGCATCGCCAGCATCGCTGTTTACCGCATCACCTGCATCACTGGTTACCACTTCACCAACATCACTCCACTCTTCTGACTCCTCCCATTTCTCACTCTCTCCCTCACTCTCTTTTCCTTCCTTCCCATCGCTCCTCTCCCCATCACTCTCACTCCTCCCGCTTCCATCTCTCCCCTCCTCCATCTCTATCCCCCTCAAATCTTGCCACTCACTTTGATCCATTCTTCTCTCCGCAGTCTCAGGCGAATCAGGGCTGGCACCTGAACCAACAGAGACAGCACCTGAAGGAAGTGCAACAGTGACAGAACCTGACGGCAACATGACAGACACGGCACCTGAAGGTAGCACAACGGAAACAGCACCTGACGGCAACACGACAGAGACAGCACCTGAAGGAAGCACCTCAACAGAGGCAGGGCTTTTCCCAGGTACCATATCAGGTTCCACATCAGGTGCTGCATCAGGTGCAACATCAGGTTCCACATCAGCTGCTGTGACAGGTGCTGTAACAGATGCCAAATCAGGTGCTGTATCAGGTGCCATGTCAGGTGCCATATCAGGTGCCGCAGCAGGTGCCGCAACAGGTGCCGCAGCAGGTGCCGAATTGGGTGCTCTATCAGGTGCTGTGTCAGGTGCCCTGTCAGGTGAGCTGCTAGCGGGAACCGACCGTAACTCCAAAACCGGCCTCTCAGATGGACTTGCAGCCTCCGGCCCAGCACGTGCCACGTCAGCAGGGATGGCAGCAGCAGCAACGGAGTGTGGCACAGCAGCAGAAGCGGTGAGAGCAGGAGTGTGTTGAGAAGCGGTGAGAGCAGGAGTGTGTTGAGAAGCGGTGAGAGCAGGAGTGTGTTGAGAAGCGGTGAGAGCAGGAGTGTGTTGAGAAGCGGTGAGAGCAGGAGTGTGTTGAGAAGCGGTGAGAGCAGGAGTGTGTTGAGAAGCGGTGAGAGCAGGAGTGTGTTGAGAAGCGGTGAGAGCAGGAGTGTGTTGAGAAGCGGTGAGAGCAGGAGTGTGTTGAGAAGCGGTGAGAGCAGGAGTGTGTTGAGAAGCGGGAGAGGTACCAAAAGAGCCTCCGAGAATGAGGGGGCTCTTCTGGTACCTCGGAACCTCTTCCTTTTCTGCCCATGACCCAACGCCTCCAGTGGTTCGATCGTGAGGCAGCGCAGCAGGGCTGGCGAGCGGCAGCGCCAAAGACTCGCTGCCAGAGGCAAACGAGAATGGGCTGTGCGGCCGTTGAAACCCTTCACGCTCTCCCTTCCCTTCAAGCCCCTCACGCCCCTCATCCCTTACGTTCTCCTCAACCTCCTGCCCCTCCGTCTCTTCCTCCCCGGAATCCACCTCAGATCTTTTCTCCGCATCCTGCCCCTCCTGTCCCCCTTTCATCTCCTCCTCTCCTTGCTTCTCCTGCGCCTCCCGCCCCTCCTGCTCCTGCTGCTGCTGCTGCATCTCCTGCCGTTGCTGCAGTGCTAGACTGACAGCTGCACTATCCAGAGGCACACCTACGCCTGCACTCGTTGGAGTGGCGGAGGGCAACGGAGAGAGAGCGGCATAGGGGCTGGCAGAGGGGAGAGGGGAGGCGGCGGGGAAGGGGGACTGGGTGGCTGCTAGCTCCATGGTGCTCCACTCCTCCTCGCTCATGTCACTCCACTCGTCCTCCCCCTCCTCCTCTCCCTCTCCCCCTTCCTCCTCCTCCTCGCTCTCTACCTCCTCCTCCTCCTCCCTCTCCTCATCTCTCTCTTGCTCCACCACGTCCTCCTCCTCGCTCTCAACCTCCTCCTCTCTCTCCACCTCCTCGTCCTCCCTCTCTACCTCCTCGCTCTCAACCTCCTCCTCCTCCCTCTCTACCTCCGCCTCCCTCTCCACATCCTCCTCCTCCTTGTCCTTTGCTCCCTTTTCTTCCTCGTCTTCTCTCTCCTCTCTCAGCCCCTTCTCCTCCTCTCTCTCTTTGCTCCCCTCTCTCTCGCCCCCTCTCTCCTCTCTCTCATCCACTATCTCCTCCCTCTCATCCACTATCTCCTCTCTCTCCTCCACCATCACCTCTTTCTCCTCCCTTATCTCCTCTCTCCCCTCCTCACTCCGCCCGTCCAACTTGACAGCAACACTGGCAGCAACACTGGCAAAAGGACCGCCTGCTCTCACACCACTCGCCCCCAGCACCTCGCCCCCATCCCTCGTTCCACCCACATCCCACACCTCACTCTCCCTAGTCCACTCACTTGACCACCCCTGTACTCCCACCCCCCCATCACCCACATCTCTGCTCCAATCCAGCTCCTCACATGCTCCCACGCCATCACCCATGTCATAAACATACGCATCCTCGCCAATCTGCCTCATTGCCCCATCGTCGCCTGCTGCTGAAGTACCCATCCCATCATTGCCCACCCCCGCCACATTCGCAGCCATCGCTCTGCCTGCTGCTGCTGCTGCTGCTGCTACCTTCCCTTCATCCTGTTGCTGCTGCTGCTCACCTGTTTGCTCAACTACCTGAGCATTCACCTGATCATCCACCTGACCCTCTTCTTCCCGCACCTGCACCACCTGCTGCTCCTCTGCCAGCTCCTCCGACCAATCAGGATCCGCCACGTGTTCAGAGGCCATCGTCACCTGCTGCAGAGGGGATACGATGCTGGTAACCCAGCTTGTCCCATCCTCCTCCCCATCACTCTCCACAACACTCCTTGCACCATCGCCACTCACGGTCTCGGGTGCTGGTGCTATTCCTTCTTCTTCCTTCTCCTCTGCCTCTGCCTCTCCCTCTGCCTCAGGCCATGCGTCACTCTCACTGCTCCACACATCCACACCATCTTCCTCACGCTCCTGCTCTCCAGCCTCTCGTTTCTCACTCTCCTGCCCTTCCATCCCTCGCTCCTCACTCCCGTTTTCTTGAGCCTCTTGGTCCTCGCTCCCTTGCTCCACGTCACTTAACCCCTCCACACCACTCCAGCTCTCCATTGCACCACTTTCCACTACTCCACTCTCCATTACCCCACTCTCCACTACTCCACTCTCCTCCACTACCCAACTCTCCTCCACTACCCCACTCTCCTCCATTTCCCCACTCATCCTCTCTTCCTCCCTATCACTCGCACCACTCCCCGAACCACCGTCATAGCTGTCCCCATCCGACCTAGGGCTGCTGACACTGCTCCTCCTGCTTTCCTTGCTAACACTGCTCTCCCTGCTCTTCCCCTTGCTTTTCTTGCTGACACTGCTCCCCTTGCTTACACTGCTCCCCCTGCTTACACTACTGCCCCTGCTGTGCTTGCTCTCGCTGCCACTCAAACTGCCTGTTGTGCTACCAACTCTGCCCACAGTGGCTGCATTATCCCCACTCGCTCCACTGAGCGAGTCCTGAGTCATCTCAGAACGCTCACTAGCAGATCTCTCCTCGCTCTTTGCAGCACTGAACGCATCACTTTTGCTGCTACTGCTGCGAGCATGGCTGCTTGCACTCCTGCTGTGTGTGCTGCTGTGCTGACTGTGCGAGCTGCTGCGCTGACTGTGCGAGCTGCTGCGCTGACTGTGCGAGCTGCTGCGCTGACTGTGCGAGCTGCTGCGCTGACTGTGCGAGCTGCTGCGCTGACTGTCAATGCTGCTCTGTTGGCTGTGCACGCTACTGCTTACACTCACTGCACTGCTATGTTTGGAACTCGTGCTGCTGTATTTGCTATGGCTTCTGCTGCTTCTGGGACTCTCACTCCCTCCCTCACTCATCCCCTCACTCACTCCCTCACTCGCTGCCTCACTCACACCCTCACTCGCTACACTCTCAGTGTCATCCTTCGCACTACTGCCTTCGCTGTGACTTCCACTCACACTATCTTTTCCACTCCCCTCGTTTTCACTAAGGGTCACACTTTCCCCATCACTCTCGCTCTTACTACGCATTTCACTCTCACGATCACTAACATGCTCACTCTCATTATCACTCACACTCCTCCCCACACTCTCATGCACACTCTCATGCTCACTCAAAGTCTCCACCACTCTCTCACGCTCACTGCCACTCCTCTCTCTCACGCCACTGCTATCAGAGCTGCTCCTCATGCTGTTGGCTTGCTCGCTCGCTCGTTCGATCCCACTCTGACTCCTACCACCTGCAGCACTGTCAGCAGCGCTGCTTTTGACACTGCCAGTAACACTGCTTGTAGCACTTTCGGTAGCAGTGCCGGTGGCACTGTGCTTGCTCCTCTTCTCACTCCAACTGCCACTATCACTCTTGCTCAAGCTCCCTCTCTCACCCTCACTCCCTTCCTCACTCGCTTTCTCACTCCCGCCAACACTTGCTGTCTCTACCTCTCTCTCAACCAGATGGTCACCTTCTTGCTCACTCACACTGCTCCTCCCCGACCGCTTGCTGCCATCCCTACTCACACTCCCCCTCCTAACCCTCCTCTCACTCCCTTCCAAGCTCAGTCCCTCACTCACACTCTCAGCCACGCTCTCCCTCGCCACACTCTCATCTCTGCTCCTACTGCTTGGACCGCTGCTGTGACTCCTCCTCCTCGCACTCCTGCTCCTACTGCTATGTCTACTGCTGTGTCTGCTGCTATGTCTGCTGCTGTGTCTGCTGCTGTGTCTGCTGCTGTGTCTGCTGCTGTGTCTGCCGCTGTGTCTGCCGCTGTGTCTGCTGCTGTGTCTGCTGCTGTGTCTGCTGCTGTGTCTGCTGCTGTGTCTGCTTCTGCTTCTGCTTCTGCTGTGGCTCAAATGTCTCCTGTCTCTGCGTTTGCCACTGCTGATGCTGCTCCCAAGGCTTTCTCCCTGTGACCCCTCCTCACTCGCCTCACTCCTCTCCCTCCTCACCCTGACTCTCTCACTCCCACTCGCCTCTGTCCCACTCTCACTCCCCTCGCTCCCACTTCCACTCCCACTGCTCCCACTTTCGTTCCTACTCCCACTATCGCTCCCGCTCCTGCTTCTGCTTCTGCTTCTGCTCCTGCTTCTGCTCAGGTCGACACTAAAGCTCAGATCAATACTGCTCACCCCGCTGCCACTACGCCTACTGCTGACTCCCCCTTGCGGGCTTGGCTGTGCCAATTCCCTCTCTGCCACCTCTATCCACCGCTCAATCTCCTTCCTCTTCTCCCCATCCTCCTCATCCTCCTCCTCATACCCTTCCTCCTCCTGCTCCTCATCCTCCTCTTCCTCCTCTTCCTCCTTTTCCTCCCCCTCTTCCTCCTCCTCATGCTCGTCTTCATGCTTCCTTGCCTCCTCCCTCAGCCCCTCACTCCCCTCCTCGCTGATTTCCTCTTCCACCCTTCGTCCCTCTCCCACCTCCTCTTCATCCTCCTCCTCCTCGTCCTTCGCAGCATGTGTCGCCTTCTTAAACACGACCACCACTCTCTCTCCATCCTCCAGACTCCCCTCCTCGCTAATACCAGCAACCTCCTCCTCTACTTCCTCCTCCTCCACCTCTTCCTCCTCTGTTCCATCCTCCTCCTCCTCCACAGCATGTGTCGCCTTCTTAAACACTACTACCACCCTCTCCCCATCCTCCAAACTCCCATCTTCGCTAATACCAGCAATCTCGTGCTCTGCTTCGTCCTCCTCCTCCACCTCCTTCTCTATCTCCTCCACCTCTACCTCCTCCTCCTCTTCCTCGTCCTTCTCAGCATGTGTCGCCTTCTTGAACACAACAACCACCCTCTCCCCATCCTCCAAACTCCCCTCCTCACTACGACCAGCAATTTCCTCTTCCTCTTCTCCGGCCTCCCAACCCTCCTCCTCGCCCACATAGCTGCCTGTCTGGCTGGCCATTTGACTTCCTGTCTGAATCGCATCCCCAACCACACTACCTAACAACATATCATCTTCATCCTCCCCCTCATCCTCCTCCCCTCCTCCATCCCCCTCCTCCCTCTTCTCGCCAGTCCTTGGCCGGTTAAACACCACAACCACCCTCTCGTTTTCCTCATACTCATTATCAACATCCTCGGTATCCGTATCAAGAGGGTTCTCAGTCAGTGACCCATGCTCAGTCGTAGACTCTCCCACCATCTCCTCTTCCTCTTCATCCGCTTTCCCCTTGGTTGCTGTCTTAAACACCACAACCACCCTCTCATCCTCCTCCTCTTCCTCCTCCTCCTCCTCCTCCTCCTCTTCTTCTACCCCTTCCTCCTCCGTCTCTTGATCCTCATGCACACTACTACCATGCATGTCCCCCAAATCATCATTCTCCTCACTATCGTGTACCCCATCAGATAAGACATCAGATGCTGCACCATCATCCTCACCACCAATACTTTCAAATTCTGCTATTGCCTTTCCACTCACCGCCCTCTCCCCCTCATCCTCCACTCCCCCCACTGTCTCCCTCTCCTGCTCCAAATCTCTTGACTCCTCCCACTCTCCACTTTCCTCCTGTGTGCTAATCCCACGTGTCACAATACCAGCACCTGCCACATCATCTTCAGCATTGTACAGCACGTGCTCACTCAAATCACTCGCCACATCAGCATCGCTTGCCACATCAGCAGAAAGATCCGCACTGCCCCTATCCCTCTCCTCCACGTGGATCTCAGCAGCTCTGGTTGCCGTTTTGAACACCACAACCACCCTCCCATCCTCCTCCTCATCCTCCTCCTCATCCTCCTCCTCCTCCTCCTCATGCCCGTCCTCCCTACCCTCAACCCCCAAACCACCCTCCTCCTCCTCTTCCTCATCCTCCGCTTCCCCAACCTTGCCACTCACACTCTCACCCAAACCATCATACAATAGCATCACTGAGTCTTGTGATGCACCACCCACCCGACCATCTTCCCCCTTACACGTATCCACCTTGCCGTTCACACGCATGCCCTCCTCATCTATCCCCTCATCCCTGTCCTCATGTTTATCCTCACGTCTCTCTGCATGTCTGTCGGCATGTCTATACCCGAACGCGCCCGCCCCTCTCAACTCCCAGTAATTCCCCATCACCTCTCTCCACACATCCATCCTCGCTTCCCTCTCCTCCTCACCCTCCTCTCCTCCCCTTCCTGCCTCCCGCTCCTCCCTCACCGACCTAAAACTCCCCACACTCCCCCTCAACATCCTCCCTGCGCTCCCAACACTCCCAAAGCTCCCAGTCCTGGCCAGCCCAACGCTTCCAATGCTGCCAGTCCTCCCTACCCCAACACTCCCCAAGCTCCCCACACTGTTATGAGCGGTCCAGAACGGTGACAGCTCCCCATCTAGAGCGTCCATCAGATCTCCCAACTCTGCCTCCACAGACCGAGTACTCTCCCCCTCACTCACTCCCTCACTCACTCCCTCACTCGCTCCCTCCCCCTCGCTCATCCCCAGGCTGGTCACGTCACTAAGAGACCCGCCCCTCCCTCGGGATCTGCTTCGGATGGACGAGACTTCTGAGCCTGACCCCAGGGAAAAACCTCTCCTTCTCCTCCCCGCTGCACCAGCAGCAGCAACACCACCACCACGAGTGACACCACCACCACGAGTGACACCACTAACAGTACCAGCGCCAGCAGAAGCAGCGCCACCGAAACTGGTTGCAGTGGTGGGGGCCCAGAGGACACTCTCCATCCCATTCGAATGCCGGCTGCTAATGCTGCCCGTGCTCTGCTGCATGCTCTGCTGCCTGCTTTGCTGCCTGCCCCACTGTCCACTCTGCTGCTCGCTCTGCTCCCTGCTCCACTGCCCACTATGTCGAGAGCTCGTCTGAGAGGCACGGGTCTTAACACGAAGCCATGGCATTACCTCTCCTTCCTCCTCCCCCTCCGTGTCCGACTGGTGCAACGAATGCCTCTGGTAATTGTACGCGTGGTGATTGTCGTGGTTATGGGGGTGGGCGTGGGCGTGGGCGTGGGAGTGAGATCGGGAATGGGAGTGGGAGTGGGAGTGGGAGTGAGCGTGGGATTGAGAGAGGTTTCGCGCGTCCCCATCAAAGCTCATTCCCAGAGCATCACGAGCCACAGCCGCTGCCACTGAGTGATGAGTCCAAGACTGTGACTGTAACTGTGACTGTGACTGTAACTGTGACTGTGACTGTGACTGTAACTGTGACTGTGACTGTGGTTGCAGCGGCTTCTGACTTGACTCTAGATTCCCCATAGCCGCCCGTGCCAGTGACTGACTGAGAGCATGCGCAAACCTCGCATCAGCTGCCCCTGAACGCCCATCACCCACACTCATTCTCCCATCACCCATACCACCAGACCTCCCATCAGCCATGCCCGGCATGCCCCCACCACCACCACCACCACCACCACCACCACCATCCATGCTGCTTGCTAGACTATCCGCCACACTGCTCCCATCGCCCTCCCCCTCGTTTTTCAGAATTCTCAGAAGCGACACCAGGCTATCCCCCACACTCACACTGCTCCCATCCCCCACACTGCTCCTGTCCCCCACACTGCTCCTATCGCCGTCCCTCTCACTCCCACTCGCCACCACCAGCCTCTGACTCCCCCCCACAACCCCCTCTCCCCCTTCCTGCCACGGCCCACAGGCTATCCCTGCTCCTGATTGTTCACTGCCTCCCAGCCCATACTCAATCCCTGCTTCCCCCACATTATCCCCCTCCCCATACCCCATTCCCACTGCTCCCCCACCCCCCTCCCCATACCCCATCCCTGTCCCCGCACCCTGCTCCCCATACCCCACCTCTGCTCCTCCCACACCCCCTTCCCCATACCCTTGCATGACCGCACGCCACACCTCCAAACCGCTCTCCGTCCCTGCTTGATCAGCAGCAGCAACGTGAGGGTCAGTGACAGCCCACCCCCTAGGGCCGTGGCTCTGGCTGCGACCGTGACTTACAGCCTGCCTGTAATACGAGTGGGAGGGGCTTGCAGCGTGCCTGTGGGACTGGGAGCGCCCCACAGCTTGGGCGTAAAACGCAGCCCCGTCAGTAGGGGGGGCGAAGAAGGCCGCATGCTCAGTTGGCGGGCCGTAAAACGCAGTTGCCCCTTCAACGGGGGTGTAAAACGCAGCCCCCTCAGTCGCTCCCCGCGAGTGGCCCCTGCTGACAGCAGCTCTCCCGTGCTGCTGCTGCTGCTGCTGCCTGCTGCTCTCCCCAGCCATGCCGGGCATGGGTGTCGCTGTGGCGCGCACACCGGGCATGGGTGTAGCTGTGGCACGCACATCAGGCATGTCGTGCACGCCAGGCATGGGCGTTGCTGTGGCGCGAACGCCGGGCATGGGAGTAGCTGCAGCACGAACACCTGGCATGGGCGTCACTGTCCGGGAGAGCGCGGCAGAAGCTAGAACACGAGGAGGCGCAGCAGCAGCAGCAGGTGGATATGGGGAGGAGTGATGGACACCAGGCATCGGCGTGACTGCCCTGGAGGAGAATGCTGAACTAGCAGCACCAGCAGCACTAGCAGCAGGATGAGGAGGATGGGGAACAGGTGGAGGAGGGAAGCTTGCAGCAGGTGAAATCCCAGGCATTGGCGTCACTGCTCTGGAGAATGAAGCAGTAGCAGTAGGGGCATTAGGGGCACTAGCAGCACTAGAAGCAGGTGCAAGCCCAGGCATGGGCGTTACTGCTCTGGAGAAAGCAGGAGGAGGAGGAGGGGCAGGAGGAGGGGGGAGGCCAGGCATGGGCGTGAGAGTGCGGGAGAAGGAAGGAGCAGCAGCAGAGGCAGAGGGAGAAGCAGTGGAGGTGCCTGGAATGGCAGAGTGGACGCCAGGCATGGGTGTAGTGGCACGAGAGAACGTTGCAGGGGCAGCAGCAACAGCAGCAGCAGCAGGAGGAGCAAGAGGGGCGTGGACACCGGGCATGGGTGTTACTGCCCTGGAAGGATGAGGTGCAGGGGCAAGAGCGGCATGCACACCAGGCATGGGGGTAGTAGAACGAGAGAACGCTGCAGGGGCAGCAGAAGGAGGAGGGAAGGTAGGGGGTAAAGCTGCAGCAGCATGCACTCCTGGCATGGGGGTTGTGGCACGGGATGCCAAAGTGGGAGCAGCAGCGGAAGCAGCAGGCAGAGAAGCACGTGCAGCAGCAGCACTGGGAACGGGCGGAGGAGGAGGAGGAGGAGGTAAGCCAGAAGGACGGACTCCTGGCATGGGTGTTCCTGTTCGCGAGTACGTGAAAGTTGCAGCAGAAGGAGCCGCAGTGGCAGCGGCAGCAGGGCCCGAAGCAGCAGCACGGATGCCAGGCATTGGAGTCCCTGTACGGGAGCGAACAGGAACAGCTGCGGCAGAAGCAACACCAGCATCGGCCCCCTTCAGGGCCTCTAGCCCCTCTACTCCCTCTACTCCCTCTAGTTCCTCCAGTCCCTCCAGACCCTCCAGTTCCTCCCGTCCCTCTAGTCCCACCAGCCCATCTCCGCCTGTGGCAGCCACAGCATGCCAGAAGGGCAGCGAGTGCCCATCCACTGCATGCATCAGCTCTGCTAGCTCGCCCTCCACGGAGCTCCCCTGCCCACTCCCTCCCCCATCGCTCCCCCCCTCGCTCCCTCTATCGCTTCCCCTCTCACTCCCTCCCTCACTCTCCCCCTCACTCCCTCCCTCGCTCCCTCCCTCACTCCCTATCCCCTCGTATCGCAACGCACCCCTGTCACGGCCCTCTCTACTCTCGCTCCTCCCACCCACGCGGACCCCGATCCACGAATCCTCCTCTTCCGTCCCGCCCTCGACTCCACCCCCCACTTCCCCTGCCCCTGCCCCTGCCCCTGCCCCTGCCCCTGCCCCTGCCTCTGCCCCTGTTGCTGCACCTTCCTCTTCCCCTTCCTCCCCACCTCCTCCCCCTGCCATACCAGGCATGGCATCCCCTAGACTGCCACTGGAACCCCTCAGGTCATCGTCCCTCAGGTCATCGTCCCTCAGGTCATCACCCCTCAGATCGTCCCCTCTCACATAAATATCACTTTCCTCCTCCTCATCGCTCCCCTCCTCCTCCTTACTGCTCCCCTCCTCCTCGTATTCATCCTCTACCGTTCTTTCCCCTCCATCCTTCAACTTCTGGACCTGCATTGTCCCGATTGCCGTCCCCTCACCCAGCCAGCTGTCCTGCTCAACCTCGCCACTCATGCCACTGTCGCTCTCCCCCCTCTCACTCTCCTCCCTCTCACTCTCCTCCCTCTCACTCTCCTCCCTCTCGGTCACACCCGTCTCACTCCCCCCTTCTGCATCACTTGTTGCTGCCACTACCATTGCACGCTCTCCCTTCAAACCCAATCCTACACCCTCAATCTCCGCCCCCACACCCTCAATCTCCGCCCCCACACCCTCAATCTCCGCCCCCACACCCTCAATCTCCGCCCCTACACCTTCGATCTCCGTCCCTGCTACGTCTGCTGCTTTCCCTGTCGTCGTCTCCACCTCCCTTATGTTCGCCCCTTCTTCCTCTCTGCTCCTTCCTACCCTCTCCATCTCCCCATCCCTTTCAAACGTGCCTTGGTCCTTTACAATCATTCCACTCTCCTCCTCTTCCCCCTCTTCTTCCTCCTCTCTTTGACTCACTTCTGTCTCCTCCTCCTCCTCTTCTCCTCCTTGCTTCTTTTCCACCTCCCGTTGAATCAACTCCTCCCTACTCTCTCCCCCCACCATTCGCCCTATTCTCAACTCCTCCCTACTCTCTCCCGCATCCTGCCGCATAGCCACACTCTCTCCGTCTTCCACTCTCTCTCCCTCCTCCTCGATACTAGGACGGCCATCTACCTGCTTCCCTGCAGGACTCGCTTTTTGAGACGTCTCCAAAGTCATTACAGCTTCAGCTCCCCCAGCTTTCTTCGTCTCCTCCTCCTCCACCTCCTCCTCCTCTTCTTTTTCCTCCTCTTCCACCTCTTCCTCCTCTCCACCCCCCAGCGACTTTACAGTGTACCAGCGGAGCAAGCTCGACACCACATGACCTTCCGATGACCTGCATCCGAAAAGAAAAAAGGTTTTTTTATTTTTATTTTTATTTTTAATATTAATATTTGTATGAATTACCGACCAATTAGTACCCAAGACTGAATTGAAACTTCTGGGCTGACTGTAAAAGGAAGACGAAAAAACGAAACTGAGACACAGAAGAGAAGAAAAACAACTGAGACGAAGTAAATACATAAACTTAGATCTTTTTTTTCTGAAAAGGGGTAGACAGGCAACTCACTCCAGGAGACCATTGGTGAGAGCGGCTTCTTCCAGCATCTTCATGCGCTGATGGGTGTGAAGGAGGAGGGAGAGGCAGGGGAGGGTGGGGAAAGGGCGGGGAGAGTAGGAGGGATTTCAGCAAGAAGGAGATTATTGGTGAGAGCGGCTTCTTCCAGCATCTTCATGCGCTGATGGGTGGCTCATGGGGAAAGGATGCGGGGGAAAAGGGAGATCGATTGTTCAGCAAGAATAGTGGTCGCTGGTCAGAAAGATTCTAAAAGAAAGAAAAGAAGCTGCTTCTGCCAGCACTGCTACCACCCACCATTGTTGCCAGCAGCACTAGCAGAACAAAATCGACACCAGCACTGCCAGTCTGCCTGCGCCACTCACCACAGCTTCCTCGTTGGCTTCAGAAGCAGAGAGCGCAGGTCGAGAGGCAAACAGTGTAAAGAAGCTGCTCCTGCCACCACCCGCACCAGCACCGCCTCCCTTCCCTCCCTGCGTGAGAGTGGCAGCAGCCCAGCCGAACCACCCCGTGCGACGCTTAGTTAAGTCCCTGCCTGGTTGCCATGCTATGGGGGTGCTGGCAGGTTGAGAGGAGAGGCAGAAGGCATGGGAGTGGGGCAAGCAAAGATAGGAGATGCCGAGGTTGAGGGAATGTCCGAGGAAAGGCTTGGGATAATGATGAAAACGGGCAACAGATATGGTGGGTGGAGTGAAAGCCAAATTACATGGCTGGGATCTCCATTCAATGCTTTCTTATATTGCAGCATATACCAGTGATAAGACATGATGATTAAGTCATCATTCATTCATATCACACGTACCAGTGAATGGACATGATGATTGGGTCAGCCTTGGGGTTTCTCGCCACAGCAAAGACGCGGCTCAGCTGCACGCGAAAAGGGGTTTAGGGTTCAGGGGTTGGGGATTCGGGATTGAGGAGGATCGAGGGTTTGGAGTTTAGCGTAGGGGGGTCATACCAAGCCAAATCAGACTCGAATTTTCGGAAGCAGGAAAAGCACTGGCATGAAATCCAACCGAATGAGGAAGAACAATGGCAAAATCTGAAACTGCAGTAGACGTGCATGAAGGTAGGTAGGCAGGTAGGTAGGGCATACGTATTCATTGGTGAAGAACGGATTGGCGTCAAAGAGAAAGTCCACGCGGAAATCCTGGAGACAGGTGAAAAGGACAGTCACAGTAATACAACCCAAGCAATAGTTGCATCTGAAAATGCAAGGGTGCGGCGGCAAGGTTTGGTTGAAAAAAAAAAAAAAGCGCGACGTCACACAACGTTCTGTCATGCCTCACAAACACAGCCATAAATCATGGTGCCCAAAACCCGAAACCCGGAACCTCGAAGCCTAAACATCACACACCATGCTGTGTTGCGACTTGTAGAAGTCCACGGAGCACAGGAACTGCAGCGCACCCATGTCCTCCTCCGTCATCTGCAAAGCGGCAGACAAGAAAGAATCAGGCAGGTTGGGAAGTGCAGGGAAGGTGAAAGATCAGGCAGCTGTGATGCAGGGGGCCACGGAGCATAGGAACTGCAGGCCACTGCAGCAGTGCATGGCACCAGTTCCGACAGCACTGCATGGCTCTGCAGCACCTTCAGCCATGTTCTGCGCTGCACCGACTAGCGTGACACTTGTTACATCACTCTGGGACACCCTTACAAGTCTTAAAACCATACCATACCACCCAGCACCACACACTCACCAGTTCTGACAGCACTGCATGGCTCTGCAGCACCTTCAGCCATGTTCTGCGCTGCACCGACTAGCGTGACACTTGTTACATCACTCTGGGACACCCTTACAAGTCTTAAAACCATACCATACCACCCAGCACCACACACTCACCAGTTCTGACAGCACCGCATGGCTCTGCAGCACCTCCAGCCACGTCCTGTGCCGCACCGGAGTCACCGGCCTCGCGTCGGGTGTCCTTGCCATCAGTGCTGCCAGCGACACGTCAGCAGCCTTTGCTGCAGCAGCAGCCTTGGTCACGTCAGCAGACTGTGCCACGTCAGCAGGTTTCACCACGTCAGCAGGCTTTGCCGCATCCGCAGGCTTGGCAGCTGCTGCAGTAGCAGGCACTGCTGCTGCTACTGCCACTGGCTCTGCTGGTGCTGCCACTGTTACCGGCTCAGCTGCTGATGCTACTGCTGCTGAAACTGGTGCTACTGGCACTGCTGCTGCCGCTACCAGTGCAGGTGCTGCTGGTGTGCCATCTCCAGCTGCCACTGACACAGGCACTTCCTCTTCTTCCACTTCCTCTTCAGATTCTGCCGATACTTCACTGAGGTTTTCATCAAGACTCAGAGGTGCTGCTGCTGTCACTTTTTCAGCTGCCATTGACAAAGGCAATTCCTCTTCTTCCAGTTCCTCTTCGGACCCCGATTCACTTCCACTACCACTGAGCTTCTCGTCGTGGCTCTCATCCTTCACACTCACCATTCCCTCACTCGCAGCCTCCTCTCTCTCACTTCCACTCCCGACGATACTCCCTCTTTCACCACCCAACCCCTCCCCGTCGCTGATATGTTCGCTCCACACACTCCCCTCACTCTCATTTTCTTCCACTTCCTCACTCTCCTCGCTCCCATGTTCTTCCACTCCCTCACTTCCCACGCTCCTGTCCGGCTCGCTTCCTTCCCTACTGCTTGCTCCCTCTGCCTCCTCTTCTCCCCCTTCAAGAATCACATCTTCTTCTCCCAGTATACTCCCTCCTCCCACCACACTCTCCCCTCCAAACACACTCCCTCCACCCGCCACACTCTCCCCCCCAGCCACACTCTCCACCTCTATCAGCAGACTGTCCACCCTCACTCCCTCACTCCTCCCCACCACACTCCCCCTCCCCACCACACTCGCCACACTCGCCACCTCTATTAGCACCCCTTCCTCTGTCACCACACTCTCTCCATCCACCTCCAACCCCACCCTTTCACTCCTCCCATCTGCTTCTGTCTCTGTTTCTGCCTCGGTTTCTGTCTCAGCATATCTTGAACTCCCCGCGCCTCCCTCCCGTGCCACACTCATCGTTCCTACTGTACTTTGTTCCTCACTCTCACTCACTCCACTCTCACTCTCTCCACTCTCACTCTCTCCACTCGCACTCTCCCCACTCTCACTGTCCCCACTCTCACTCTCCCCACTCTCACTCTCCCCACTCTCACTCTCCCCTTCGCTCGACCCATCCTCTTTCTCTGACTCCTCTCCCTCACTCCCTGAGTAGCTGGTTCGGGTCACAGCATCTGTCTCCGTCACACTACCCTCACTCTCCTCCCCGCTCTCCTCCCCACTCTCCTCCTCACTCTCCCCACTCCCTCCCTCACTCTCTCCCTCACTGCTCCCTGTCTCCTCACTGCTTCCCTCACTTCCTTCCGCGCTCAGACCACTTTCATCAACACTTTCCCCCTCACTCTCAACATCACTCTCAGCCTCACTCCCATAATCACTCCCCCCCACACTGCTCCTGCTCTCTTCTCCACTACCACTCACACTCTCCGCCTCACTCGCCCTTGCATCCCCTTCACTACCCTCTCTCTCTCCCTCAAGTGCACTCCCCTTGTAACCACTATCCGCCAAAACACTCTCCTCCCTCCCCACTACCCCACACTCACCACCCCTCCCAGGCAGCTGTTCCGGACCTTCTTCCTGACCACCTTCCAAGCCTCCCTCCAAACCTTCTTCCGAGCCTCCATCTGAGCCTTGTTCGGAGCCTCCTTGTAGCCTCTTTCTTTGTCTCATGCTTGCAAGCACCCACGCCTCTGTCGCTACCACTCCTTCCCCTCTCTCCACACCTCTCTCCACCGCTCTGTCCACCCCTCCTCTTTCTGCTCCTCCAACTGCTGCTGACACACCTTTCTCAGGTGACTCATTATTCGCCCTGGTTGACTCAGTTGACTCTCTTGACTCAGGCCGGCTGGAATTTTGAGAGCTGCCTGCATCACCAGGTACTAAGGCCGGAGGAACCAACACTTCACCACCGTACTTGCCTTTCCCACTCACATCACCATCAGCACCAGCACCAGCATCAGCGTCAGCACCAGTGCCAGCATGGGTGGGGGCGTCAGCATGAGCATAGCCATCATGTCTGGATCCAGTCGACATGGTATCAGAGTCGGCCGACAATCCATGCACCAGAGTGCCTACGGGGAAAACCCCATCCCGGGCCCCTTCAGTCCTTTCGTCCCCTTCAGTCACTTGAAGCCCTTGAGTCCTTTCAGGCACCTGTGCTACAGACAGCTGCTGCTGCGCTCGTGGGTCCAGTGGGTGGAGGACTGGGGGGACGGGAGAAGCAGCAGAGTGGGGGCGATGCGAGGCTGTAGCATGGGCGGTAGGAGCGGCTGTAGCATGGGCGGTAGGAGAGGCTGTGGTGTGAGGAGGCACGGAAACTGGATTTGCACGTGGGTCCATTGGGTGGAGAATAGAGGGGATGGGTTCAGGGGGGTGAGACAAGGGAAGGGGAGAGAACTCTGGGGTGGATGGAGAAGGGGAATACTGGGGAGGAGGGGGTGGGTAGTGAGGAGGAGGAGAAGACTGGTGATAAGGTGTGGGGAGAGAAGGTGAAGGAGCAACAGGGGGAGCGGTCTTCCTTCCAACAGCAGCAGCGGCTGCTACTGCAGGGGCTGGTGCAGGTTCTACTGGTGCAGGTGCTACTGGTGGAGGTGCTACTGGTGGAGGTGCTACTGGTGGAGGTGCTACTGGTGGAGGTGCTACTGGTGGAGGTGCTACTGGTGGTGGTGCTACTGGTGCAGGTGCTACTGGTGCAGGTGCTACTGGTGCAGGTGCTACTGGTGCAGACGCTACCATAGGTGGGACAACTGACAGCGGTACAGCTGCTGCAGGCCCTGCTGCTTCTGAAGGAACGACCGGCTCTGTAACAGCTGCAGCACTGGCAGAAGCACCAGCAGCACCATCAGCGCCATCAGCGGGAGCGGCAGTGGCAGCAGTAGCAGGCGAGGTGCCCCAGAGGGGGCGGAAGAGGGAGGTCCAAGCAGAGACGCCACGGGAGGGAGAGGAGCTGGTACTGGGCTTGGGAGACACTGCTGGGGACACAGCTGGAGATGCAGCCAGAGTTGCAGCCGAGATGGCAGCAGGGGGTGCAGCTGGTGCTGCTGCTGCTGCTGCTGCTGCTGCCGGTGCCGTTGCTGGTGCAGCTGCCGGTGCTATTGCAGTTCCCACTGCCAGACCTGCTTCTCCTCCTCCCTCTGGCACGCTTTGGCTGACTGCACGTCCAGCTGGACGCTCCTGATTGGTCGGCAGCTCTGTCGTGTGGTACTCGCTTGCTCGCAGTGGTTGGGGTTTCTTGCTGGGACCTGCAGACAAGGGAACAGCAGCAGAGGCAGCAGGAGAGGCAACAAAGGAGGCAGCAGCAGGAGCAGCAACGGGGGGAGCAGCAGGAGCAGCAACAGGCGGAGCAGCAGGAGCAGCAAGGCCAGGCGAAGCACGTGCAGCAGCAGCAACAGGCGAACCAGACACAGACGTTCCAGGAGCAGAAGTAGCAAACGCAGCAGAATCAGAAGCAGGGGACGATGGCTGGTACAAGGAAAAAGGGGACTCACCTGCAGGGCGAGGGCCAGCCATACCAGACGCACTAGTGGCACCAGTGGCACCAGTGGCAAGACCAACGGCACTGTGGGGGGTAGACCCTCCAGACGACCCTCCCGTGCTCTGTGGCGTGGTGGCGGCAGACCCAGGCGCTTGAGCGAAGGGGTGGGGGGAGAGGGGCGAGGCGGAGGAGGGGCGCAGGGGCTGGGGGCGCTTGAAGGAGCGGCGCAAGGCGAGGGAGGGTGGAGACGGCTGCAGGGAGGGCGTGGTGGGCGGCTGTGGGTGGTGGAACCTCTGCGGGGGAGCCGCTGGGGAAGCTGGGGTTGTGGGGGAAGCTAGAACTGCTGGGACTACTGGGGTTGCTTGGGGTGCTAGGACTGCTGGGGCTGCTGAGACTGCTGGGACTGCAGAGGCAGGTGGGGCAGGTGTGGCAGCTCGAACTACTAGAGAAGGTGGGGCAACGGGGGCAGCTGCAACAGCTGCAGTAACTACTACAGCAGCGGGCACAGCAGCAGAAGCTTCATCTTCTGATGAAAAACCGTACTCCTGCTCCTCTTCTCTTTCCCCCTCCCCCTCCCCCTCCCCCTCCCCTTCTTCTGACTCATGCTGCTCCTCCTCGCTGCCTTGCACCCAGGCTTCCTCCGAACCACTCCCAACCGAATCCCTTGCTTCTTCTTCCACCCACTCCTCATCCTCCTCTTGCCTTCCTCCTTCGCTCTCACTCTCCCTCTCACTCTCACTCCCCCTCGCACTCTCCCTCTCACTCTCTCTCTCACTCGCACTTCTGGAACCATACTCATCCTCCTCTTGCGACTCTTCCCCTCTCTCACTAGCCGACTCATACTCCTCCTCACCCTCCCCACTCTCCTCCCCCTCTCTCCTCCCATCTCCCACACTCACTCCACTCCTATCAGACCCCCCAAATCCCTCACTCGCCTCCTCACTCCCCTCCCCACTCCCCTCCCCACTCCCCTCCTCACTCCCCTCCTCACTCCCCTCCCCACTCCCCTCCTCACTCCCCTCCTCACTCCCCTCCCCACTCCCCTCACTGCCTTCAGACAGCCCACTCCCATGGGAATCCTGCTTCAACAGAACTTTCAACTGCCCCTTCAGCTGCCCGAGCACCGCATCAAACCGCCTCTTGCTCTCTGCTCGAAGCATCTTCGCCACCCTCTCCTCCTCCTCGCTCCCAACACTCTCCCCTCCTTCCTCCTCCAGATCATCCTCTCCCTCTGACATCCCATCCTCCTCTGACCCGACACCCTCTGACCTATCCCCTTCTGAACGCCTGTCACCTTTTGAGCTCTGCCCTGCTGCTGAGCTCCTGTCGTCTGTGAACACACTCTCCTCCTGCTCCTCCTCTTCCTCTTCTTCCCCTTCTGATCTCCTCTCGCTCTCTGACCTCCTGTCACTTTCCAAACTCCGCTCTCCCTCTGAGCTCCTATCGTCTGTAAACACACTCTCCTCCTGCTCCTCCTCCTCCTCTTCATCCTCATCCTCAATTGAGCTTCCCTCCTCCTCCTCCTCAGTTGCAGTAACATCCTCACTGCCTTCCTCCTCATCATCATCCTCCTCCTCCACCTCCTCCTCTTCCTCCTCCTCTTCCTCTGAACTAGGCTCTTGGGAACTCCCCCCCACCTTCACAGTGAGAGGCCTCTTCCATCCAGGCGACCGCATCGCATCCGCCAATGACGCAGCGCCACCTCTTGGCGTCCCAAGCTGATGGCTGGGACTAGCAGAACCAACGGCAGCGTTATTCGCACTCCTCACACTCTCGCTCTCCTTTCTCCCTTCACTCCCACTGCCACTATCGCTGTACCTCTCACTGCTCTTCTTGCTGAATCCCTCACCCTCCTCCTCAGACCCCTTACCCGTACCCTCGTATTCCGAATCGCTCTTCTCCGATTCGCTTCCCTCTGACTTGCTCCTCACAGACTTGCTACCTTGCGACCCGCTAGTGTGCGACCCACTACTAGCTTGAGACCTACTCGCATGAGAGCTGCTCACACGAGTCCCGCTAGAGTGGGATGAACTAGCAAGAGACTTGCTAGAGTGAGACCCACTCCCATCAGACCCACTCTTGCTTCCCAACTGGGACTCGCTTCCCAGCGACCCCTTACTGAGTGACTCATTAGGAGACGATTCTGTGCCAGGGGACTGGCTTGCAGCAGAGGGGCTGCAGCTTGCTTCAGAGGGGCTGCGGCTTGCAGCAGTCCCACTTTTGCTCGCTCCCGCTCCTCCTGAAGCATCTGACGCTGACCTGGAACGGTGCGATGCTGACCTGGAAGCATGTGATGCTGACCTGGAAGCATGTGATGCTGACCTGGAAGCATGTGATGCTGACCTGGAAGCATGAGAATCCGACCTGGACACCTTCTCAGACCCCGATTCCCCCGAATCGTCCTCTGACTGGCGCCCATCACTATCTGACCTTCCCCCACCAGATTCCGACCCTGAAACCTCGGAGGCAGAAATTTCTGAAGCAGACTCTCGAGTTAGTGTGGTATGAGGGCTTATTGTGTGGGAACCAGAGTGAACACTTTCTCTCTCTGACCCGCTTTCAGACTCAGACTCTTCACTGCTCTGTGAACGGGTGTGGGAGTGGGAGTGGGAGTCATATGTTCCAGATACTGCTGAGCTGTGACTCGCACTCTCATCACCCTCACTCTCACTCCCCTCACTCTCATCGCTTCCACTCCTGCTGCTCCCCCCACTCCCACTCTCCTCACTCCCACTCTCCTCATCCCCACTCCCCTCACTCTCACTCTCCTCGCTCCCACTCGTGCCTGTCTCACTCCCCTCTGTCTCTGTCCCATCTGTATCACTCCCCCTACTCTCACTCCCCACTCTCTTCCTCCTCCTACTCATCTCACTCCTCCCCATATCACTCCCAATCTCACTCATCCCCCGCACACTCAACAAGTCCTCCCGGGTCCCACTGGTTCTAGAACCCGTTACAGTCACCACCTCTATAAGCACAACATCGTCACTGTACCCTCCTCTGCTCCTGCTCGCTGCACTCCTGCTCACCGTCTCACTCCCCTCCATACTATCACTATCCCCCATAGTATCACCATCTTCCACACTCTCTGACCCCTCACTCCCCTCACTCTCTTCACTCTCCTCACTGCCCTCTGATAAGCTATCTTCCTGATACGAGCTACCATCCCTCTCACTGCTGTCCCTATCACTGTCTGCCCTCCTCCTCCCGCCCCTTTCACTATCACTCGGAACATCAGTTCCCTCCAAAGTCAGGGTTCTATCTGCCGTCCCAGCAGTCTCACTCCCCTCCATAGTCTCACTCCCCTCCATAGTCTCACTCCCCTCCATTGTATCACTGCCTTCATAAGTTCTAGTCTCCCCGAGGGTTTCAAACGTGTTGGTTCTCCCCATAGCCTCAGTCCCCTCCATAGTGTCACTCCTCCCAATAGTGCCACTCCCCTCCATAGTACCACTCCTCTCTATAGTCCCACTGCCTTCAAACGTCTCAGTCCTCCCCACTGTCTCAAACGTGATACTTCGCCCCATTACATCCGTCCCCTCTATAAGCTCACTCCCCTTGATAGTCCCACTCCCCTCCCTAGTCAACGTCCTTCCCAGCGTCTCACTAACAGCTGTCTCGGTCTCTTCCAGGGTGAAAGTCCGCTCCATAGTGTCACTCCCTCCTGGAGTCACAACCTCTGTCCCATCCAGCGTTCTGTCGTCTATTGTGCCGCCCACAGTGCCATCCATTGTGCCATCCAATGTGCCGTCCCATGTGCCATCCAAAGTTGTGCCATCCTCATCATCACTCGACCCTGTCTCCTCACTCCCCTCGCTTTCACTCGAACCACTTTCCGTCCCCTCACTCTCACTCTCCACCTCACTCCCACTCTCCTCCTCACTCCCACTCTCTTCCTCACTCCCACTCTCCTCCTCACTCTCTTCTGTCTCACTCTCCCCACTCCCCACGTACTCAGTCTCTCCCTCGTCTGAACTCCCCACAGGGCTAAGGCTTGACTCACTGCCCTCCTCACTCTCCTCCTCACTCCCCTCCTCACTCCCCTCCTCACTCCACTCCTCACTCTCCTCCTCGCTCCCCTCACTCCCTCCAGAAGCACCACTCTCCACCGCACTCAATTCCCCATCTTCTCCCTCCTCCCTACCTACCCTCATCTCACTCCCTTCTGTCCCACTCTCCTCCCCTTCACTCCCTTCACTCTCCCCCTCACTCTCTCCCTCAGCACTTCCATCAAACCCACTTCCCTCCTCACTCTCAGCCTCCTCACTCTCTCCTTCCATCCCACTCCGACCCTCACTCCCATCCTCCTCCCCACTCTCCCCTCCATCCCACCCCTCACTGCCAACCTCCCCCTCGTCCTCCTCACTTCCCTCCTCCTCCGCACCTCTCTCAATCCTCACCACAAGGGTCCCTGATCCTTGAGTATCAGCCAACAAGCCACCACCACCAGCACCACCAGCAGCACCACCAGCGCCAGCAGCAGCAGCAGCAGCGCCAGCAGCAGTGGGTGAGAATCTCGACTTGTTAAAAACCACAAACACACGCTCATCATCCTCCCCTGGCCTGCCATTAGGCGACTTGCTCCCCCCCATTGCCCCACTCGCCCCACCCATTCCCATGCCAGCTCCCCCACTCAACGGTGTGCTGGCCCCGCTCGTACCCCCTCCAGTACCCATAGAATTTGCCTCCAGAAAAGGGGAGGGGGGGGCAGCGCCATACTCGTTGATAAACACGATGCCTCCGATTGCATCGGGGGTTTTCATGCCGCTATAGCCCGTGGGAGTGCCCGCTTGTGACGGTGCCAGTATCGGTCTGCCCACCCACGCACCTACACTCTCCTCCTCGCTCTCCTCCTCCTCCTCCTCCTCTTCCTCCTCCTCCTCCTCCTCTTCCTCCTCCTCCTCCTCTTCCTCCTCGTCCTCCTCACTTGCATCTTCAGTTGCCTCCTCGCTCTCCTCCTCAATTTCCTCCTCACTCTCTTCCTCAATCTCTTCCTCACTTTCCTCCTCACTCTCCTCATCACTACTATACTCCATCTCCTCCTCTTCCTCCTCTTCATCCTCTTCCTCCTCCTCATTCTCTTCACCCTCCTCCGTCGCTTCCTCACTCTCCACCTCTTCACTCTCCTCCTCCTCACTGCCCTCCCCCCACCCTATACCAACCCCACCAGCCCTAGCACCAGACCCTTTACTCCACCCACCAAGCCCCGGCCCAGGCCGGTACCCCTGCGCAGGCTGCTGCATCACCCCCATCTCTGCTGCTCCTCCCACCGCTCTCCCAGGCACCGCCGCTGCTGCTGCAGCTGCCCCTGGCAATGCAGCTCCGTCTGTGCCTCTCCCTGTGCTCTTAGCAGGCGACACTGTAACGAAGGCAATGGGAGACATAAGAGCCTCATGCCCGTCCTCTACCGCAAATACACCAGGAGCGGCAGCAGCAGCACCAGCAGCACTAGCTGCTGCTACTGCTGCTGCTGCTGCTGCTGGCGGCTCTGCAACCTCTCCGTTTGCTCCTGCATGTGTATGGGTGGAATAGCGGCCAGCACCAGGGCTAGTGGCTGTACCCGTTGCTCCAGGGATAGCAAGGGAAGGAGGGCGAGGAGGGCGCATAGCACTACCAGCGCCACTACCACTACCACTACCCCCACTCGCTCCTGTACCTGCTGCCACAGAAACCCCTTGCTCCCCGTCCCTTAACCCCATCCCAGCATCACCTGCCTGGTTCAAGTCCTTCCCCTGCTGCACCTCCTTCCCCTGCGCCTCTCTCCCTGTGTGCCCGTCATGCTTCGCCCCAAACACAAACGCGCTTGCCCCTGCAAAGAACCCTGCCACAGATCCCCCCCACGACTGCTGCTGGCCCCCCGCCTGCTGGCCCCCAGGCACAGCCCCTGCTGCTGCCACTCCAGAAGCTCCCGCCCCCCCAGCATAACCACCAGGGGCGAACGGGTGAGGAGAGGAACCCGGCACAGCAGCAGACGCAGCAGCAGGCGCGGCATAGGCAGGGGAGTGACCATAAGCCGGGGGAATGGGGGGTATGCGCGGCTTACCTGCTGTTCCAGAGGAGAATGGGTGGGACTGAGAAGGGCCTTGTTGGGAGGAGGAGGCGTTAGGAGGGCCGACAGGCCGAGGGGGGAGCTGCTGCTGGGGGTGAGGAGGAGCGGGGGCAGAAGACCGGGACCTAGACGCAAAAGGGAGAGGTCGGGGGGATGATGGTCGGGGGCTGGTGGGTGGCTGGGGCGCATGCCTTGCGCCAGGCTGGGGCTGAACCCCCCCCGGATGAACCTCCCCTGGGTGAAACCCGCCCCCAGGCGCTCCCCCTTGACTGCTAAACATGAATCCGTTCTGCTGCTGCTGCTGCTGCTGCTGTGAGGCGGGCCCCCATCCTGCCTCGTGCTTGATTTCCGAGTCCGAGTCATCAAAGTCCTCCTGTCCTGCTCTCCACACGTCCCTCTCTGCCCCTTTCCTCCGCCCCACATTCCCAACCATCATTCCCGCTGCCCCTGCCCCTGCTGCTACCCCTGCCGCTGCTGCTGCTCCTGCTCCTACACCCTGCACCTGCCCTCCGTTCCTCACCTCCCTCTTATCCACAACCCCCGCCACCCCCCCCTCCTGCACCACCCTCTTCTCCACCACCCCTCTCCCTCTCCCCCTCACAAGCCTACTCTGCACCTCCTCCTCCTCCCCCTCACTCTCATACACCACCCAGTCATCATACTTCCCCACATCCTCCAGCAACAAACCCCCCGAAGTCGCAGGGCGCAGCACAGGAGCCCCAGACCCAACCCTGGACAGCGAAACAGGCGTACCAGGTCTGGCAGGCCCCACAAATCCCACAACCACAGGCTGGGCCGCTCCTGCTGCTGCCCCTCTCGTCTGCACACTCCCCTCGCCATCCGACGAGCTCCACGCCCCACTAGCCCCAGCGCTGGCCAACCCCTCTACTGGCAACCCCCTCATGCTCTTACTCGCTCTGTTGATCTCCGCCCCTGTGCCAAAACTCCCTCTGCTGTCCGCCGTCCCGCCTGCTACTCGCTCCAGCATCCCTGCCCCTAGAGACGACCCTCTAGGCGATCTTTTCCCTAACCGGGATCTCCCGGACTTGCCCGCGCTGCTGGGCCGAGGTGCCCCGTGCCACATCCCGCCCCTCGTTCTCCCTGCTACGTTACCCGCCCCATGCTGCTCCCCTATCTCAGACACAGGACTCATGCCTCCGCCTCTCGATCCCTGACTCGCCAAACTCCCCGCTTTGAACGACCCTGCTTCCTCCCCGCCTCGCCCTCTCCCCCACGAGTCCCCCAACCCGCCCTCCAGCCGCCCACTCATTGTCTCCGAGTCATCACTCGAATCTGACTCCACCAGCTGGTCCCGATCCGCGCCAGAGTGGAAGATCCAACGGTCACCGCTGCCCGTGGCGGCGCGCTGCAGGAGATTGCTACTGGCGGGCGCGGAGAGGGCAGCAAGGCCACTGCTGCTGCGGAGGGGCTGAGGGGGAAGACCGCTGGTGCTGCGGTAGGGAAGGGGGGGAAGCTCGCTGTTGCTGCGCATGGGAGGCATACCAGTAGTGCCGCCGGGACCATGACCTGGTAGGGGCTGCTTCGACCATGACTGCTGCTGCTGCCGCTGCTGCTGCTGCTGCTGCTGCACCTGCTGCTGCTGCAGGAGCGTATCCCTATCTCTGCCACTCCCGCTACTGCCACTGCTTCTCCCCATGCTTCCGCGCCCCTGGCTCCCCTGCCTCCCACTCCCCCCAGAAACCTCCGCACCGAACCCTCCTTCGTGTTGCTCCCCTGATCCAAACGCGCCCTCCCCCACCCTGTTCCGCTTCGCCTTCGCCTCCCGCCTGCTTCCCCCTTCACCTGCAGACACCGGCGAGCTCCCACCTAGCGGAGTCCCAGGGGTGGCTCGTTTCGACCCTCCACCAGATTGCTCTCTGGGATCGTCTCTAGAAACTTCTCGGGAGCCTAGAGCAGCGCCTAGAGCTCCTCCTACTACGGCGCCTGCCACTGCTGCCCCAGCACCAGCTCCGGCTCCAGCAGAAACTGCTGCTCCGCTCGGGCCTGCTTCCCCTGCTGAACCTGCTTCTGCCGCTTCACCTCTATCACCTGTGTCTGCTGCTTCTGCTGCCTCTGTTGCTTCTGCTGCTTCTGCTGCTCCTGCTGTTCCTGCTGCTTGTGCTGTTGGTTCAGGCAGACTTTGTACGGCAGATTCTGAGTCGCCAACACTACTAAGGTCTCTTGCAGTGTCCCCTGACGCCAGCACGGCTGCAACTGACGTTCTCGAGTCTTCCCTCATCCCTTCCGAACCCCCCATCCCTTCCGAACCTCGCACCCCTTCCGAACCTTCCACCCCCTCCATCGCATCCCCTCTGGTTGCTTCTTCTGCTGGCTTGGCTTCTCGCCTTTCAGCCAAACCTGCCACCCCGGCTGCTACAGCTCCGCCTGCTGCTGCTGCCCCTGCTGCCAAACCAGCTATAAGCCCAGTCCTACCAGCACCACCAGCAGCACTGGCACCACCAGCACCACCGGCACCACCAGCAGCACCGGCACCACCAGCAGCAAGAGCAGGGCTAGAACTGGGCGTCTGTGTATCTGCTGCTGTTTGCGGCACCACAACACCTCTCGCTGAAGGCCCCACCCGTTCAGGCAGCCTAGGGTCCGCGCTAGTCGCCTCATCCGGCGGCTGTGCTTCTCTCTTCGACCTAGCTCCCTTCTTCCCCTTCTTCCCTTTCTTCTTCTCCTTCTCCGCTTCGCCTGGGCCTGCTTCTCGCGCTGCTCTTGCCCCTGATCTGCGGGACCTAGCTGGCCGTCCGATTTCGGTGGATATCTCCTGGACGGTCACGATCTCTGTAGAGATCTCCTCGATCTTGACGACCTCCTCTCGCACGTGTCCAGATACAGCGCTGCTGCTCAAGGCCTGCTTAGAGGGGATTGGTCGGCGGTTCGGGGGAGCGGGAGGAGTAGGGGGAGGGGGAGGGAAAAGGGTGGGTGAAGGGAAAGGGGGGGGGGCGGGAGTAACATGGGGCCGGGAAGGGGGATGTGCAAATAGAAAATTGGGGATAAGGACACGTCAAGAGGCGGAGAGGTAGCACTAGCCCACTAACACCCCCCCATGTCTGAACCCTAATCACAGAGAAACATCCCAGTGCCGAAACCCCGCCCGCATTCTACCCTTCCCCAGCAGCGCACCTGAGCTTGCAGCAAGGCGTGCGAAGCCGTAGCAGCCTTCACTCTCCCCCACCCAACCTCAAACTCGCGTTTCCTCTCTGCATGTAAACCATCACCCCATCCCCCCCACCCAGCACCTCCCCAGCAGCGCACCTGAGGCTGCGGCAAGGCGTGCGAGGCCGTCGCAGCCTCCTCCAGCCAATCGTCGTCCGCGCTGGCGTTCGGGAACCACGTCAGCCCTGGGGGGCGGTGGAGGAGGGGAGGTCAGGGGAGTGGGGAAAGAGGAGGGGAAGAAGGGAGAGGGGGAATAGGGAAGGAGGGGAGTGGGGGATTGGGTAGTAGGGGGAGCGTGGCGTCAAGAGCAGCTTTACCCTCAACGGTCACCTCGTCTTGCCCAGTCGCCTTCCGCACTGTCATTTCGAAACCGTGATGAGACATTGGCGGACACGAGACAGGAGGAGAGAGACGACCAGATGAGGTAAGCGCAACGGCGCTCAAAGACTAAGCGCAAAACGTAATCAGAAGCGGAATCACAAGAGCACGCTCGTAGTAACCAGAGTAGCATATCGGTCTATACAAAATCTCGAATCCGCCGGGTGCGATAACGAGTCTATAGAGTGCTTGGCATGGCGAGTGTATACTTGAGATCTACGAGCATTCAAGGCAGCTGCAGTTTCCACTAATGGTGCGTCTGATCGTTTTCTTCTGAAAGAAGGCTCGGCAGGTGATAAGGAGCGCTAGTCGATAGTCCCTAGGTCTGTATAACCTTTGAATCGTTTCACAACCTCGCATAATGGACGACTGTGACGGTAACGGTAACTGATTTCTGACAATTGCGTCTGGCAACTGACCTCTTCCTGATGCGTCCGGTGTGGTGGGTGGGGAACAAAGCGGCCATGGCAGATGGCCGTCTTCTAACGTCGCGTTTGGCGGAATCGCGATACACAAGAGCTCTCTAAAGTGGAACCGGCGACGCGAGTCACTGGCTTTCTTGATAAGCTCCGCCTTCTTGCGAGTCCTAGAGTTAGTGGACTGCAGGCGAGTTAAGTCTAATTCATTCGGCTCTTCCGGCCTTTTGCTTTTCTCGCGTTTCGATTCGCGCGTGAGCTGCCTCGACGTGCGTCGCGAACCCCAAAGACTCGTCATTGTCGCGAAAAACTACGAGCATTACAATCCTGAGACGAACCTAAGAACGGATGCACGAAAAAAATAGGCTATCCGTTGCTGCTATGTAAGCAGGCGTAACCCATAAATAGCATAACTTAATTACAGGACGAAGTTAGTTAGGTTAGCAAGCTGAGATCAGCATCAAGCTTCTAGTTCCGTACAATAATAAGCTATCTCAAGCCACTGATGGCCATAGCATCTTGTCAGCACGACACTCTCTATGCTTCCTGCCCCCGACCTCCTCTCACAGACGGATTTTGGCTCGGTAATCCCAAAGTTTTGAAAGGAGATGCAGTTTGCCCGCCCTCGAGCCTGCCCTGTTGTCTGGCCAGGCCTGGCCTGGCATGGTCCGGTTTGTGTCTGCCCTGGGAACTGCCCCTTTTCTGCCCTTGGTTTCGCGCCAAACCTGCACGGCACTGACGCCCCACGCGTTTCGTGGCTCGTCGCGATTCCGTTTCCGTCGGTGGCACCACGGAGCAGGCACCAACAAGAGATGCTGTTGGTTCCGTCAATCTCGCAAACGTTCGCGAATGATGATTTGTTTCGCAACCCTAACGATGAAAAAGGGGAATCTCGAGGTCCTCACGTTCTTGTCCAACCAACAGTGCATTGCTGTCTGGCAAACCGCTGCAATACACGTTTCATTCACCTGTACTGTCTGAGTGTACTTTCAACACAACAAACATAGGCGGCCAGGGATTGACCCACATAACTACTTGGCGGGGTTTGTTATGAGTTATAAAAGAGAGTGCGCAGGTAAACGAATAACGAGACTGTGATTGAATGATCTGAGAATACAATGAAGGAACACACTAATGTAGGAGCTAGCCTAGCTAGGAGGAAACCTCGGACGAGCGAGGTTGGGGTGCAGGTTTGGCAATGGAAAATGCCGAAGGCGACGCGAGGAGCCTCGGCAGCGTTGAAATCGGCCGAACGTGCGAAGTCCGAAAATCGGGCTGTACGCGTAGCAGTCAACCCGATAAGGAATTAAGGAAAATTCCTGACACTACCCCCCCCCTTAAGAAAGGCGGTCAATATCCGAAACACGTCTGCGCGCCAAATAATCACCAACAAGTGACGAGGCGGTCAGCGAGTCAGAATGCACCCACGTGTCATCCTCACTGGTGCGGTCAGTCCATCGGATTAGGAAATCCACGTGGCGACCAGCCGCGTCGAGGCGAACCCGATGTGTCAAAATCTTCGAAGGTTCGAGAGTCGGTTCCGGGACAGGTCGTGCAGTCGGGGCAGCTTGTTGCCTTGCGATGTCGGTCGTGGCTGGCACGAACTTCCGAAGCAGGCTGGCGTGGAAGGCGTCATGAATGCGCCAGTCGTCGGGTAGTAGTAGCTTCGCGGTGACAGGTGTCACCATCTTGATAATCTTGAAGGGTCTACAAAATCGTGGCCGTAATTTCGACGGTCCGGGCAGGTGCAGGTTCTTCGTGTCAAGTAGCACTAGTTGCCCAGTAGTCAAGACGAGTTCTCGGCGTAGAAGATCGGTGTATTTTCGGGAAGTGATATTCGCCTTGTGAATTGCGTCTGCGGCTTTTTCTCGGACTTCCTGAAGTTCCGTCACAAAAGTCTGTGACCTCGGGACCGGGTTGTCGAGAGTAGTTGCCGTAGGAACTGTCGGGTCCATCCCGTAATTCAGGAAGAACGGCGAGTGATTAGTCGTGCTGGACGGCGCGTTGTTGAAAGCGAACTCCAACATTGCGAGGGATTCTTCCCAGCGGGCAGGGTCGGGGCAGTTTGTCCTGATCAGCTGCTCCATGGTCTGATTGGTCCGCTCGGTTTGACCGTCCGTCTGTGGGTGATATGCCGATGAGAACTGTAGCTTCGTGCCGTACTGCGCCCACGTCTCCTTCCAGAACTTTGATGTGAACTTCAAGTCTCGGTCGCTGATGATCGCCGAAGGGATGCCGTGCAGTCGCACGACCGTTGAGATGAAGAGGCGCGCAGTTTCTTCGGCTGTGATTGTCGTTCGGCATGGGGCGAAGTGTGCCATTTTCGTGAAGCGATCGACGACGACGAGCACTGCGTCGTTGCTGGACGGTCCAGCTGGCATCCCCGTGACAAAATCCATTGTCACCTGTTGCCACGGTCGTTCGGGTGGCTCGAGGGGTTGCAGCAGCCCAGCTGGTCGTTGACGTGTCGATTTCATAGCTTGGCACACCCTGCATGAGGACACATAGCGCTGCACGTCGTTAGAGGAGTCAGGCCAGTAATATTGACGGTGCAGTAATTTCTGGGTTTTGTCAACCCCGAAGTGTCCGGAGAGATTCGAATCGTGGACCTCTTGGATAAGGAGTTCACGCATCAGCCTGTAAGCGGGAACCCAAATCCGGTCGGTTCCGGCCTTTAGGTAATAGTCCCCTTTCTGCGTCGTGGCCTACTGATGATTCCCAGTCGTGAAGAACGGGTCCGTAGTGTAGCCGTGGGTAAATAGTCCAGTAAGTAATGGGTTCGAATGGGTAATGAGTACTGCAGCGGATTGAGAAACTTAACGAGAATGAATTGACTAAGGGAAAGTTGGGTACAAATGCAAACCCTAGAAAACTGTACCCCATATGTGCTACCCCACTATAGCCTACAGTAGCTATGTCATATAAATCTGACACACCCCCATAGGCAAAGTGGGGGAGAACAAGGGGTCACAAGACCAGTCAAGCAAAGCAAAGCAAGCTCAGGGTGGATCACAAAGTCGCCACACATTCCGAGCACAAGTTCAAGGCCATAAGGCCAGTTCACATGGAGGATTACATATATATATAAGGCTAGACAAGCAAGAGCATGTGTATATATATATGCAACAGTACAAACAAGGTCAAGGGGTGAGCAAGTGAGGCAAGGTAGGCACAAGACCCAGCTGAGTACAGAAGCGCTGATGATCACAAGGCGCAAGTGCCTTGGTGAAGATATCAGCAGTGTTGGCCTGAGAGGCCACGTACGCAAGCCGCAGCTGACCACGCTGCTGTAGCTCACGAGCAAGGAAGTAGCGGAGAGCAATGTGCTTCGTTCTGTGCTCCAGTCTCTGCTCTCGACACAAGGCCAGCATGGCCTTGTTGTCTACGTACAGCACTGGAGGAGAACGAGGCGGCTCTCCGAGGTCAGTGAGCAGGTAGGTGAGCCAGCGAAGCTCCTGTGCAGCCATGGCCCCGGCGTAGATCTCAGCCTCACAACTGGAGCCGAGAACAGAAGACGAGCGGGTAGCCCGCCACGAAACAGAGCCGGAACCAAGGCTGAAGGTGTAACCCTGTGACGACCGCTGCGTAGCCTGGTCGTCAGCCCAAGAAGCGTCTGCGTGCCCAGTGAGGACCACTGGACTCTGCCCTCCAAGCACAAGCCCCATGCCCGACGTACTGCACAAGTAACGCAACACCCTCTTCGCTGCAGCCATGTGCTCCGGTCTGTGTCTCCCAGGAGCAACATAGCGTGCGAGAATGCTAAGAGGGTATGCGAGGTCAGGTCGTGTGCAGGTCATCAGGTATATGAGGCAGCCAACAAGCTCTGGGTACGGGCCACTCGACTCTACGGACTCATCCGAAGGCAGAGCTGAGAGCGAGTGGCGAGTAGGCAGAGGAGTGGCCTGAGGCGAGGAATACGTGAAGCCGAAGCGCTGAAGGACCTGCTGCACCATGTGTGACTGAGTCAGGGTAATGGTGCGGCGTGCTCTGTCCCGGGTGATCTGCAAGCCAAGGTAGCTGCGCAGTTCACCCAGGTCTGTGCACGTGTGTCTCTTCTGCAGCTCGGACTTCACGTGGGCGAGTCCAGCAGTGTCAGCAGTGGCAAAGACCAAGTCGTCGACGTACACGAGGATGTAGAACGGCGGCAAAGAAGTGTCGGTACGCAGAAACAACGACGGGTCGGCAGTAGAGGGAGCAAACCCAAGAGCCGCAAGTGTAGTCCTCAGTGTGTTGTGCCACTCACGCGGTGCCTGGCGGAGACCGTAGACTGGCCGCCGGAGGCTCCACTGGGTGCCAGGAGGAAAAGACCCAGTGAAGCCAGGTGGGCGACGCAGCCAGATCTCCTCGTGCAGGCTGCCCTGCAAGAAAGCAGTGCTGAAGTCAAGAGAGTGCAGCTCGTAGTCGCGGTGAGCAGCTATGTGCAGCAGTACCCGAAGAGTGGTCATCTTCGGGGTGGGAGAGAAGGTCTGAAAGTAGTCAACTCCCTGCCGCTGACTGAAGCCACGAGCCACGTAACGCGCCTTGAAGACAGGCGGAGAACCCGGCGGTCGCTTCACCCTGAAAATCCACATGCCACTGACGATGTTCGCC